AGTCCACCAGAGGGAGCTATGGTCTGTATAATAGTTCTGAGCAATACTCTCAACATCTAAGCTTTTCTAAATGAGCAAACATTTGGGCTGCATCCGAAATCGCATACTCTTTTGAGGAGGTACTTACTTTGAATAAGTACCTTCACAACCACTAAAAAAGTATGTTCTATATAGTATGAATGTAATCTGGACGAACTACATTTGCGATGTTTCCATTATCATGTGACTTACCAGCATCAGTTGCGTCACTTCACTGCCATTCACAAATCCTCTCCCGTGGCCTCATGGGATAGTAGTGTCCTGCCGGAAATAGTAGGTCATCTGGGTACTTTTTACTCCCCAATTCTTTTATGAGTACTGTAAATTCGGACATACTTTGTCACATAGTGTTTTTTTGCCAACTATATAGTAGGGAAGTATGCGATTTTCGGATGCATTCACTTACATTCTGTATAAAACATGCTCAGAACTTCAGGTGATGGCTCCATCTAGAGGACTGGAGGGTCAACAGCAGACTCAGATGGTACAATAACTTATTATATTATATTAAACTATGACATTCCATAATGCACCCTCTATATTTTTGCTGCAGGTCCTAAATTATATAAAGAGCCCAGCGCAAAGTCAAATAAGCATATCATTCAGAATGCTTTGGCACATTGCTGTTTGGCTGGCAAAGTCAATGAGGGACAGAAAAACAAGATTTTGGAGGTAAGCATGTCTGTTCATTTTCATTACATTTATATTATATTTGAAGTTTTATTCATTATATGTTTGTTTTCTCAAGGAAATGGAGAAATCAGGGGCCAACAACTTCCTGGTCCTGTTCCGGGATTCTGGCTGCCAGTTTCGCTCTCTCTACACCTCCTGCCCCGAGATGGAGGAAATCAACAAGTTGGCCGGCATCGGTCCTAAAACCATCTCACGCAAGATGATCGACGGCCTCTACAAGTACAACTCGGACAGGAAGCAGTTCAGCCAAATTCCAGCCAAGACCATGTCTGCAAGTGTCGATGCCATCACGATCCACAGCCACCTGTGGCAGACCAAAAAACCAGGAACACCGAAGAAAGTAGCGGCCGTGAAGTCCTAATGTCTCTCCACGTCGGATGCACACAATCTCAATGCACTTGTTTGTACATATTAGAATCCTACAACACTTTTTACACTCTTCCATCAGTTCGGACACACAAGTTTGCGAAAATTATGCACAACTGGAATGTAAAACTCTACGGGGTGGCAAATGGATCAAACTCGTGTGTCTAACACCCAAGACTTTCTGATTCAGGCTGTTTTACTGCACCGTGAACGTGTCGTTTTTATTTAAATGTGCCAAAATAATGAAAAGTTGTCAAGGATGACCTGTTATTTTAATTTGGTACACTAAAGCACTGAATGTTCTTAGTTTGTATAGAAATCTCGCACATATGTTGACGTGTGGCCTTTTTTGTCTATATTTTAATCTTGTTTTTATTTGATTTATTTTTTACGACTGTCCTGATATGATTGTACGGCTGCTTATGGATAGGTTCTCACATGCGTAGCTTGTGATTATTACAGTTTAGTACTGCAAGGGAATCCTGTCAAATCTAGTATTCATTAACCAGTGTGCTAATGTGCAGTGAGTGGTATTGTTTGCAGGCCGAACCCACTTTTGATGGGTTTTTCAACATTATCTGATGGCATTGATTCACAGCAGGATTGTGAATTCATTTCATTTTGTTCCTGTAGGTGTATTTGCTTTTTTATATATATTTTGGGGAGGGGAGGGTGACCGACTGAAGGAAATGTTCAGCATAATGATCAATTTAATCAATATTTATATTTCATAAAAGGTCTTAAATAAGACTAGGGGTTAAAATGCAAACCTTTCAGTTGAATCGATTTTTTTATTGTTGGTGCGATTACAAATTCAGGCGGATTATGGTGGACTGAATTGTTTCAGCGATATTTCCATGGATTAAGATATGCTGGAGTAATAACCATTTTCAAAATACTTTTGTACTGTTATGTATGCTTGTGGTGACTGATTTTAAGTATTTCCCTGTCCTGGGTCACGCAGAACTATTAAAAGCAGTTTACCAAATGATATTTTACCGGATTGTTGGAGACATTTCCATGTTTTGTGACCTGAGGGCTAAATCATTTGAATGGTAAATTATTTAAAATAATACAATTTCATTTTTTGACTTGTTGAAGAGGTGAAAACATGCCACGTTTTGTGCGCCTGGAGTCTGTGTTGCATTTTAAAATGTTATGAATCTCAGTCTGTTAGGATTCCCCCGTAAGGTGCGATCATATTAGCAAAATTTTGGTAAAAATTTGGTAATTCTGTTAAATTTCTCAGGCAAAAAATGTCCATTGTCAATAGTGTAGGGATGCATGAATCACAGCTCACAAAGGTCGCTTTCAAACCAAGCAACTTTTTCTGAATTTGTGTGAGCATCTCTGCATGGGGGGCATCTTTGCAAATTTACCAATCGCGCAAATACCTATTGAAATGACACCATTTCAACAGAGAAAATCTGTCGAACAATGGTAGCTAAATGTGACCGCATCTTCAATCGTCTTAAGGCAAAATGTGGCTGTATACGGGTAGAGGCTTCTGTTGCCTGACTGAAAAACAACAGCCTTCCTTTTGTTTGAGTAGGAATTGTAAAAATTGTCATTATTTTTGGTGCTTGACTCTTGAAACATAAACATGCACACCTGTTCTCACACAAACATCTACTGAGTAGTTGGAATGACGTGTCTGTGTTAGGAATGGAAATAATGCGCACAGCCTTGAATTCAAAGTAGCCTGTTAGGACGCCATCTTTAATCCGTTAGAAAGGTACTACTGGAAATGGAATTATTATTTGGCCATTTCGGACCACAAACGGGGGTTATTTAACTGTAAATGAGCACGATAGGAAACTGTACAGTGTGTGTTCTCTGATCTCTCCAGCACGTTTCTCTCTTTTATTTTCTTTCAGGCGCTGTGCTGTCATATTGTTCAAATAACATGTTCTTTGCATTCAATAAATTTCGCATGGCCTCATTTGCAGCTTGCTGATTATTCTTTAACATTGTATATTAACATGCATACTAAAATTGTTGTAGTTACTAGGAAAAAGTGCACACTTTTAAATAATTTAAGGTTTCTAGTACTCAACGGTGCCTCTAATTAAAGAATCACTCTTGAATATTCATGACCGTCCTGTCAAGCGAATATATATATATAAAAAAAATCCTGCAAGTTCATTCGAAAAGTGTTGACGTAAACAAAGGTACATTTTGTGTTGTTTTTGGAGGCAACATTGTACATTTTTAGAACGTTTTCTTGAACATTTAACACTTAATGCATTAATGTTGATATAACAAGTATGACATTACAAGTAACATGCATTACAAAATCAGATTACTTTTTGATGTAACAAGCAATGCATTACAGAATCAGATACATTTTTTGATGTAACGAGAAATGCATTACAAATAACATGCATTACATAATCAGATTACTTTTTTATGTAATAAGCAACGCATTAAAAGTAACATGCATAACACGTACGTAATCAAATTACATTGTTGATGTAACAAGCAACACATTACAAGTAACATGCATTACATAATCAGATTACTTTTTGATGTTAGAGTAAAGCATTAAAAACATGCATTACGTAATCAGATTACATTTTCGACGTTTTTTTTATGTTTAATACATTTATTTACAACCAAAAAAGTTACTGCAGATGAAGTATATTCAAGTCACAGTAATAGTATGATTTGAAGCTAAAATATAGCAAGTGATGCATGATGATTAATCAGATTTTCCTCCCAATCTAAAATAAATACTTGGAAATGTAACAATGATATGACTCATAAGATGCAACTTGATGTTACAGCATTTTTTTTTTTTAAACCAGCAAGATTCTCCTATGATAGATGGATGGCCAGTTCCCACTTTTGGCAGTGTATATGAATAATGCACTAGTGGTTTATGTGCAACTGCAATCAAAACCCATACATACGCAAAATGGCTTTTTGAATAGGTGTCCACTGCAGTGACCTCTATGCGTAAAAGGGTTCATTTAGCGTCCCATTCGTTGACAACCATAAACATTCAACGCGCTCAGTCTCAGTCAGCTTGCTGACGAATCTGAAATCTCGGTCAAATGCAGGCTATATTTGCTGTGTTTGTAGGCTATATGATTCAAATGGTTATTCGTGTATGTAAATAAACATGAGGCTACTTTAACGAAAAGAATGAGTTGTAGCTGTTGTGGAATAAACTAATAAAGTATAGTACCAGTTTCAGCAATCGTTCTCTCCCTCAAAGTTTATGACACGCCCAACTCGGAAACTCGGGTAACATTTTCTCCGAGTTCCCAGAGATTAATGCTGCGTTCCAGGCAGGTTTTTGAGCACGTAAATCACGACTTCAAACCACGACTCACGACTTTGTAGCATTCCAGGCCAGTCATGCCAAACTACCTGAGCGCAATATACATACTTATTGTTTCAGACACATAACATTGTAATACATAATCTTGTGTGTATTATATCATTATTTTTATATTATTATTAATTTGACTGCAACTTTATATTGTCCTAAAGTGTATTCTCACTGTGTACCGCCTGCAGAAACACTGCATCCGTAGGGGCTGCCATTGTTGTTTTGTATGGTTTTGCGGGCTATGTGACGTCAGAACTCGTAACTGGGAGTACATCGATCTAGTACGAGTTCACGGGTGGGAAGTCACGGGTTTGACTGCCGTTCCAGTGCACTTTCACGGGTATAAGGTTGGAAAAACACGGATTACAGGTTGCCTGGAACGCGGCATTACTTGACAAGTTCATGTCATATTTTCTTAAAAGGAAATTCGTAGTTATGATCATTCCGATTGCACGCAAAGGCAGCATAAGTACACGGCTCATCATCCATACTAGAATATCTGATAATTTCATTTCACAATCATCAGGCAGCTGACAGACAGACTGGTGATTCATGAGCAGGATGTGACGGTCTCTCTTTTAGGTGTTGGGTCACACACACAGTCAGACTCAGTCGGAGTGTACACATGAGCGACAATTATTCAGCCATTCAAGAGCATTTCTGACATCTCTGGTGAGTTGATTTATGTTGTAATAATATTTGTTTAGGCTAATTAGTAGAACTAAAGACTTAAATGCATAATTAGGCCCTAGTCTTTCGCTTCTTGGTTTAGTGAATCCATGTGTACTATACTTTAACATTGACATCAATTTACTTAGACTATATATTATTGATCAAGAAAAAGGAAGGAAAACAGGGTCACACTTTAGATTAGGGTCCAATTCTCACTATTAACGAACTAACTGACTTTTGTCTCTCAATAAACTCCTTATTACTGCTTATTAATATTTAGTAAGGTAGTGTATTGGGTTGGATTAAGGGATGTAGAATATGGTCATGCAGAATTAGGCATTAATATGTGCTTTATAAGTACTAATAAACAGCCAGTATCCTAGTAATATCCATGCTAATAAGTGAGAGTTGGAACATGGCTCCTTATTTATACATATTTATAAGTATTTGGACCCTTAAATCACACATAAAAAGTGTAAATAGCATTGTATTAGTTACTAGTATCAAACTAGGTGGCATTAATTTTAAAGAACGATAACACAACACACATCTAAAGCGTTTTAAATAATAAGACAAAATATGTTGTTCATACTGATGATGAAATTGTGGATGTAAAACGCATAGTCAATGTGATGAAATTCACCTTTGCTTAATCTGATAGTGAGAACTTTAGAAGAACTGACTTAATACATGAACAAAAATCACTAGTTGATTAAATGTCATTTTAAAAATAAGCATTTTTTCTTCCTATTTTGTGATCTAATGCGATGAAATACACATTTTAGTGTGACTCTTAAAAATAAAGGTTCCAAAAGGGTTTTTTCCCCAGCAATGCCATAGATTCGAAGAACCATTTCTGGTTCCCCAAAGAACCTTTCAGTGAACAGTTACAAAAAAGAGAACTGAAGAAAGAGTGTGAAGAACATTTTATTAATCTAAAAAACCTTTTCCACTATAAAGAACCTTTTGTGGAATGGAAAGGTTCCATGGATGTTAAAGGTTCTTCATGGAACCATAATTGCAGATAAAGACCCTTTATTTTTCAGTGTAAACACATCACACATAAAACACAGGTAAACTCAACAGCGCAACAGCGTCTCAAGTCCTGCTCTGACTTGCCTGAACGCTAGAAGGGAATGTTCCTTTTTTTTACGCCCATCTGTTTTCCCAGGTCTTACACCTACTCAACTGCGTTTTTAGTTTAAGTAATTTTTTTTTTTTAGTGTCTTTGTGAATAGTCGTGCCACAATAGCATTTTGTTGTTGTTGTTGTTGTTCTACAAAGAGCTTTAACCTTTAGCTGATGATAAATGCCACCTCCAGCATTCACAATTATTAAGCATATTTGTTTTAATGAATTGTACGAACAAAGGCCAAACTGGGTGTGTTTTTCCAACGTAAAAGTGTTTCGCAATGTGAGTGACACATTGAGTGTCATTGGAAGGCTGCAGGTTAATAAATCACAAAGCTTTTCAGTTCAACCTAAACCATTTGAATACTCAGGAACCATGATCCTATACATTCAATTACATTCAATTTATACCTGAAGCTGGAATTACCAGTTGCTAAATGTACGAAATGACAGTATGACACAAGAGATATTAAAAAAAAGATTTTCTAGCTCTGATCTTTGCAATTCCCTTGACGAGTCATCAGGGTCTTTAGATGAGCTATGATATCACTTCCTGTTTCATGTTTTTTGCATGGACTAGGCAATTTTTCTTTTACATTAATTGGTTAAAGAATAAATAAAATTTTATTTCTAATAACATGCCCTGAATTACTATTTCAAACAATTTAAAAAAAGTATTATTATTTTACAGTTAATGCTACAGACTTATATTTTAGTTTGATAGCAATATTTAAATAATTGTACAAGTTGCATTTTAATGTATTTTGAATAAAATAAAATAAATGCAATAATTTATTTTATAACCTTTAAAAAATAGAATTTATTTATTTATGATATTTTATATTTAATGCTACAGACTGAAAATTTTTATTTTATAAAAAAATTTATAAAACTTTTATTATTCTTATTTAAAGGTTGTCTTTGTTTTTTGAAGGCAGCATAGATGTATCCTTCACTGCCTTTGATATCCCACAATCCCGTGCGTTCCAATCCGTGACAGTTGAGCTAAAAAAAATATAAATATGGCGTCTGACAGTCGCTGTGTCTGGTCAGTTTGTGTGTAAATGTACGTTTTTGACCAACGGTTTCCATTTCTGATGTCATTTGAGTGAAACATTACTATTGTAGTAATTAAATATTTGCTTAGTTTTCTCCAAAGCCCGCTCTATTTTGCTGTTGATCATTAAACCATTAACTTACACTCCCTCAGAACCCTATCAGTTTTGTGAGGTACCTTCATGCGCAAACGCTGCCTACAAAGTCACTGCCTGATAAGGCAGCGAGGCAACAAGTCAGCTGCCTAAACTACCAGCCCTGTGAGCATGTGAACAGGTGGGAGAGGTTCGTCCGATAATTTCTTACTCAGCAATAATTGGATTTGATGAACACTCTTTAAAGGCATGAGTAACAGCAAGCCTGTGACTCTGCAGTGAACTGAATAATTCATTTGATTAATCCTCTAGGCCTGTGCTTGACTAACCAGAATAACTGTTTTTAATTAGGCGAAGTAGAAAATCATGCTCACTTATTTTTTTGCAAAAGCAAGCACTCACATTCTCTTCATTAGCTCTTATCATGCCTGACATTTATTTTCAGGTTGTTATCTCTTGATCTTGAACTTTTGGATGTTGCTCAATCGAACACGCAAGACAAGAGCATCTCGTTTGAATGTAAACATTTCAAACATGATGGCTGTTGTGAATTATCCCACGCAGCGTCACGCGAACATGCAACAGTGTTTATGCGAGTTTTCAGCCTCAGGCATCAACAATTTCAGGTATCCATCTCGTACCTTAATCCGCACATGTCTCAGCCTGCCTCCTTGCTCACATCCAGCCCGAACTGAGTGGGAAAACGACCCGTGTTTCTTGTTTTCAACCACAAATGATTGCTGTGATCTGTCAGCGCACTGTTTTGGTGCAACAACAATGAGTCACCGTTGAATTCCTGGTGTATTGCGAGGAATGTTTAGGTGAAGCAGCTTTGAGTCGAGGTGTTTACTAAGGGATGAGTTTAAGTGGAGGATTTTGTTTTCTATTGTCACCCTCCAGTTGAAATCTATACTGGTTCAGTGCACTTCTTGCAGGAACAGGCCTTCAAGTGAATCTTCGTGTTTGGGAAGTGGGATCAAATGTACGTGTGTGTTTTGAAATAGATCTCAGTGTAACGTGTGTTTTTTTTCTACAGATGTAGACGGGACAGTGGACAAGGTTTATTTCCACTCCTTCAGCATCCAGCATCATGGACTACCACTTTTGGCCACAAAAACTCTCAAATGATAAACGTATATGCTGGATACGGACGCCTACCTATGGCCCAATCTACTATGGAAAAACATGAGTTAAAAGCTGATTGTTAAATATGCTAAATATTGAAGTAATCATTTTGTAGTTTTTTTTTTGTTTATTTAAGTGAAAAACAAAGCCATGTATTATCCTCAGTTGTTCTTCATCGTTCTGCATGGCATCTTTCTGACATGTGCCTACACTGGATGGAGCAATCTGGATAGCACCCCCCGAAAAACCATTCAATATGAAGGTAAGAGTCTTCTTTCTTGAGTTTACAATTGAGTACGAGTAAGGACCTCCTTGAGTTTAACTCGATTTGGACCATGTTCGTGTTTGGCTATAGTGCTTCATTGACAAATAGAAAACTCATTGTTATTCTACATGCATTTATGTTTTTGCCCTTAGATAACCATGTGATCATGTTTAAAGAGGACGGTATCTGGAATTACTCCACAATGCTGATTAGGGAGGATCTGGGTTTGCTGGTGTTGGGGGCGAGAGAGGCCATCTACGCCCTTGACATAAAAGATATCTCCGTTGCCAAGTCTAAGGTGCCGGTTTGATATCCTTTCCTTTATCTCTTGGCAACAATAAGACAGAATTCTTCGCCCTGTTTCAAAACAGCACATCTGTATAGTCGGTATTGATTTCTCTCCACCCATCAGGTGCTTTGGAAGGTTACAGAAGAGAAACAAAAGGAGTGCACCACCAAAGGAAAAAATCCTGACGTGAGTAAAGATCTCTGTAACTGCCACACATTCTCACAAAGACACATAAACACATCAGCATAAATACTTTGAACAAGGGAGGTTGTTTTTCTATATGATATCAAAAATCGGATTACCTTTTCAGATCGACTGTCATAATTATGTACGGATGCTGCATCAAATGAACAACGGCATGATGTACGTGTGCGGAACAAACGCCTTTAGCCCAACCTGCGATTACATAGTAAGTGACATAACCAGAAAAACGATATATTTTCATGTTTTTAAAAAATATTTTAATATTTACACATTTTTATATAATTATTTTTAATAATTTAAATAAAAAATTCTTATTTTTATTCTGAACAAATATTTATTAAATTATAAGGACAAACAAAATGAAATAATTGGCTTTTACATTGTCATTGTACTCACTGTTTGCATTTTAGCAATCCATCACTTTCTTCCTGGTATGAGATTAGGAACGTCAGGTGTCGTGTGATCCATCAAGCGCTAGTGTAATAGTGCTAAAAAACAAGATAAAAAACCTTGTGTTCATTGCATTTGTTTGAACAGACATACAGTGACGGGCAGCTGAAGCTGGAGGGAAAGCTGGAAGACGGGAGGGGGAAATGTCCTTTCGATCCGTTCCAGAGATCCTCTTCTGTTATGGTTGGTATGTATGTCGTCCATGCAGGTTTTTTAGCAGTTTAAAGTGTCCTTTTATGCTTTTTCGAATATTACCTTTTATGCATTGTGTAATAAGCTGTTTGTGAAGGTAAAAGGTCAGTAAAGTTTTAAAGATCAAAGTGCACGACAAATGAAGTTATTGTGTCTTAAATTAAATAATCGATTTGAACTGCCGAAAAGAGTCGTCAGCTTTTCAAGTCTCACTTACAGTTACAAACCTACGTAACAATGTAAGAAATTTGCATAATGCCAGCCTATGGTCTTCATTGGCTGCCCGTGAACAACGTCTACTTTGACCCTCAAACATTGTAGTTGTAGCTGAGACTGGAAGAGTTTGGTTTGTGTTGTCGACATTTTGGGAACACATCTTTGCTGCTAAAGCAAATCCACTTGCATGCACTTCTGAAGGATGAGGACTCACGCTAGAACTGATACAGAAAAAACTACGCTGTCTGGTAGTATTATTGTGTATCGAGTGCTGAGGAAGCCTCTAGAGCTGAAATTCAGATATGGGCGTTTCGTTTCCGACACACACTGTAAGTGGTAGACCAATCACAACAGACTGAGCCATCTGACCAATCAGAGCAGAGTAGACCAATCACAGCAGACTGACCATCTGACCAATCAGAGCAGAGTAGACCAATCACAACAGACTGACCATCTGACCGATCAGAGCAGAGTAGACCAATCACAACAGACTGGACCATCTGACCAATCAGAGCAGAGTAGACCAATCACAACAGACTGACCATCTGAACAATCAGAGCAGAGTAGACCAATCACAACAGACTGACCATCTGAACAATCAGAGCAGAGTAGACCAATCACAACAGACTGAGCCATCTGACCAATCAGAGCAGAGTAGACCAATCACAGCAGACTGACCATCTGACCAATCAGAGCAGAGTAGACCAATCACAACAGACTGACCATCTGACCGATCAGAGCAGAGTAGACCAATCACAACAGACTGGGCCATCTGACCAATCAGAGCAGAGTAGACCCATCACAACAGACTGGGCCATCTGACCAATCAGAGCAGAGTAGACCAATCACAGCAGACTGACCATCTGACCAATCAGAGCAGAGTAGATCCATCACAACAGACTGACCATCTGACCAATCAGAGCAGAGTAGACCAATCACAACAGACTGACCATCTGACCAATCAGAGCAGAGTAGACCCATCACAACAGACTGACCATCTGACCAATCAGAGCAGAGTAGACCCATCACAGCAGACTGACCATCTGACCAATCAGAGCAGAGTAGACCCATCACCGCAGACTGACCATCTGACCAATCAGAGCAGAGTAGACCCATCACAACAGACTGGGCCATCTGACCAATCAGAGCAGAGTAGACCCATCACCGCAGACTCGGCCATCTGACCAATCAGAGCAGAGTAGACCAATCACAACAGACTGACCATCTGAACAATCAGAGCAGAGTAGACCCATCACAACAGACTGACCATCTGACCAATCAGAGCAGAGTAGACCAATCACAACAGACTGACCATCTGACCAATCAGAGCAGAGTAGACCAATCACAACAGACTGACCATCTGACCAATCAGAGCAGAGTAGACCAATCACAACACACTGACCATCTGACCAATCAGAGTAGAGTAGACCCATCACAACAGACTGGGCCATCTGACCAATCAGAGCAGAGTAGACCTATCACAACAGACTGGGCCATCTGACCAATCAAAGCAGAGTTGACCCATCACAACAGTATGGGCCATCTGACCAATCAGAGCAGAGTAGACCAATCACAACAGACTGACCATCTGAACAATCAGAGCAGAGTAGACCAATCACAACAGACTGACCATCTGACCAATCAGAGCAGAGTAGACCAATCACAGCAGACTGACCATCTGACCAATCAGACCAGAGTAGACCAATCACAACAGACTGACCATCTGACCAATCAGAGCAGAGTAGACCAATCACAACAGACTGACCATCTGACCAATCAGAGGAGAGTAGACCAATCACAGCAGACTGACCATCTGACCAATCAGACCAGAGTAGACCAATCACAACAGACTGACCATCTGACCAATCAGAGCAGAGTAGACCAATCACAACAGACTGACCATCTGACCAATCAGAGCAGAGTAGACCAATCACAGCAGACTGGGCCATCTGACCAATCAGAGCAGAGTAGACCAATCACAACAGACTGACCATCTGACCAATCAGAGCAGAATAGACCAATCACAACAGACTGGGCCATCTGACCAATCAGAGCAGAGTAGACCAATCACAACAGACTGACCATCTGACCAATCAGAGCAGAGTAGACCAATCACAACAGACTGACCATCTGACCAATCAGAGCAGAGTAGACCAATCACAGCAGACTGGGCCATCTGACCAATCAGAGCAGAGTAGACCAATCACAACAGACTGACCATCTGACCAATCAGAGCAGAGTGGAAGGTTTTAGAGAGACTGAATCTTCAAATTAACCATTTTCAGACTCTTTGAGAAAAGAGGTTGTGTGCAATGTTTATTATGAGAAAATTGTAAACCTTTTGTAGGAGACTTCCAAAACAAAGTTAGGAACCTTTAAAATAGCATAATACGGGCACTTTAAATGCATTGTGGAGGGGAATTTTTTTATATATATTTATTTATTTTTCCATAGATGAAGACCTGTATTCTGCCACGTCCTTTAACTTTCTGGGTTCGGACCCGGTCCTATCCCGCACCTCTCCCAGTACATTGCGCACAGGGTTAAGCTTCAATGGTATGTCAGACGTGATGACAAGACTTCCTCCAGCAAACAAAGATTAATTGTAGATTAATAAAAGGCTTTGTGTAAATAATATTCTAGTATTTATTAATATTTTGAATTAGCTTTTTTGAATTCATATTTTCAGTTCTCATTTTAATTTAAGTTTTAGTAATTTTGTAATGTGCTTTTTGTTGTTTTTTAGTTTTAAAAATATTTCTATATAGCTTTTATTTATTTCTATTTCAGTTTTAGTCATTTTACATCAACTTAAAGTTAGTGTTTTTTAGTAAGTTACTATTAATTTTATAATTGTTAGTAATTTACTGCAAGGAAATTTTAAGTTTTTTTTTTTAAATGTACGATTTATATACAATTTGTAGCTATTTTCAGTTATAGAAAACAACTTTTAATAGTTTTATTTTTAGTTCACAATAACAACTGCTCCTAACATAGTGAAAAATCACATTTCTTTACCCACTCAAGAGCCAAGCTTCGTCTACATGGACGTGGTCCCAGAAAGTGAGGACAGTCCCGAGGGCGACGATGACAAAGTCTACATGTTCTTCAGTGAGAACGCCGTGGAGTACGACTTCTACAACAAGCTTGTGGTGTCGCGTGTCGCCAGAGTCTGCAAGGTAACACTTCACCGGTCCCTTTAACCGGTGCAAACAGGAGGATTTAGCATATTTAGCCCTGATCTTGTAAAGACTTTTGTCATTTTCCTGTTTTACAGGGTGATATGGGTGGTCTAAGGACCCTCCAAAGGAAATGGACCTCCTTCTTGAAGGCTCGTCTGGACTGCACGGTCTCTGAGCCCAGTCTGCCCTACGTCATACAGGACGTCTTCCATGTTCGCCACAAGAAATGGAGGAAAAGTGTATTTTACGCTGTCTTCACCTCTCAATCGTAAGTTTTGTCCTTTTTTTTGCATCTGAATTCACTCATTCGTTCATTGACAGTTGTGTTTGTGTATGCAGGAGCTCAACAGATCAGTCTTCAGCGGTGTGTGCATTTAATGTAACCGATATCAGCGAGGTGTTCTCTCGTGGCAAATTTAAGACGGAGGTGACCGTGGAAATGTCTGATGTGAAGTGGGTCACGTACAACGGAGAGCTTCCTGTCCCCCGACCAGGAGCTGTGAGTGGTCATTAATAGTCTTATATAGTCTTTAAGGGGATGCATGTAATATTGAAGATGTTAAAATAGTTCAAATACTTAAAAACTACCATGTACCAGAATGTTTTACTATGGTGTATACTTTAAGAACCCTATTTATATAACATGGTATTTAAATTCTACTGTAACGAATGTCAAAGAATATATTGATATTATAAAAAAAAACATGATTTGATGAGTATATTTTTTGTAAAATGACAAAAAAAAGTATTTTTTTGCAAGGGTACAACATTTTCATGTGCAATCTTCGCAGTGCATCAACAACGCAGCGAGGAGTTTGGGAATAAAAGGGTCGCTGGACCTCCCTGATAAAACCCTGCAGTTCATCCGAGACCGGCCTCTCATGGACGACGCAGTCCGTCCAATCACAGGCAAGCCCCTGCTGCTCAAGAGAGGCCCGTTGTTGACCCGTCTTGTGGTAGACGTCGCAACTGCATTGGACGGACAGTCCTATCCTGTGATCTTTGTCGGCACAGGTGAGATTCCCTTTAGCCTCTAGGGCGGAGCAGCTCTTAAAGTCAGTTAGAGGGTGTGTGTAAACTGTCATTCAGAGGAATGTTAATTGTTCCTTGGACTGAGCTATTGAATTTTTTGTTGTTGTTGTTGAGTAGTGTTAAAAAGCTGGATGTAGAATTTAGTTTTTGTAGTGAAAGTCAATTGTTTTCTGTTTTCCATCAGAAAACGGTTACGTGCAGAAAGCAGTGAACTATGATGGAGAAATACACATCATTGAAGAAGTTCAATTGTTTCAGAACACTGAGCCGATTGACATCCTACGACTTTACCAGAATCAGGTACGCAATACTGGGGATGGGTATAGATAAGAGTTGCTAATTCAATTATATTCAGATTTGATTTAATTCTGATTCATTCACATATGACACAGTATTAACTTAGGAGTCATTTTCACATAATTCCATTATTTTTGTAATGACTCAGTCTTAATTGCTAATGATTTGAAAGCCAAAGTGGTGAATTATTTAGTTGCATAGTTCATCATGAAAAAAAGCAAGAATCAGCATGAGTTGTCTGTCTGGTCCAGTTGTACGCAGGCTCTGCGTCTGGGGTTGTACAAATGCCCGTCAGCAACTGCAGTCGTTATTCTTCCTGTCTGGACTGTGTGCTGGCCAGAGACCCTTACTGTGCCTGGGACGTCACTGCTCTGCGGTGCTCTAGATTACCCACATCACCTGAGGACGCAAAAGGGTAAGACACTCACACACAAGAACAATGCCATATCAAGGAAGAATTGAGAAAAAAATCCTGCCACTCACCCTCATGTCGTTCCAAAACAAAGACTTTCCTTTTCCGGAGAAACCCCAAAAAAGATTGTTTTGTTTTTCAGCAAATAACTTACAGTTTTAGTTTAATTATTTATTAAAAAATTTAATTTAAAAAAAATGTTAACATTTAATTAAAGGTGCAGTAAGCGATTTCTGAAAAACACTGTTGATATTTGAAATCAACCCAAACAAACACACCCCTCCCTTTATTTTGCACCGCCCCCCAAGAACAGGTGTCTCTTTATCATAGCAAAAGCAAAATAATGCTTTGCGCAAATTAAAGTGAAGATGATGAACAAACGACATGAACATTCAGTACACAAGAGTATACAAGCAAGAGTTCATTGTTAGTTGCCAGCAGCACACCAGCTCCAGACAAACAATGACACTCAAAACTCTCCTGTTACTATAGACCCCTTTTCAGTTACTGTACGTTCACACCGCCGCCGGCGAGAGCGCCCTGCCAGCGACGCCGTGGAAAGATTCGTGGACGCTCTGATGCTCTGACGTAGATCGAATGTTTGGTCTTTTTTTAAACTTTATTTAAAGGGGCCGTAAAGCAAACAAGCATGTCGATCGTTATTTTTGCAGAAAATTGATCGATGGAAAGAACTTAACAATTATAGTGACATGTTTGCTAACGAAATAAACCAATTAAAAGCCATTTGTGTGGTGTGGCTTTTGTGTTCATGGTTAAGTGCTATTCTAATTTGCATTCCCGCTGAAAAACAAGCGTTCTAGCGCGAAAATCTTGCCTATAAATAGTGTTGCGCGCCTTCTTATCAAATTCAAATGATCAACCTCTCCTCTATTTTGCTTGGGAACTAATGTGGTCGGAACCAAAGTTACTTGACTGCGATCTCTGGAATCCTCTCAAACAGAGCACTTCTGCATTCCGATTGGTTGCCGCCAGTTGCCGCCGAACCGCGTCATAGCTCATTACCATAGAGTTGAGCTGATTTCAACTTCTCCTCGCCGCTCTCACAGTCCAAGACGCGCCCTCGCCGGAGCTCGCCGCCGGCTCTCATTGAAAATGAATGACTCCCGGCCACTTTGATGCTCTCGCCGGCGGCGGTGTGAACGCACAGTTAGTAAACATGGTGCAGTTTTTTTGTGGGCGGAGCTTAGGTGGAGGCAGAACGATCCCTCTGGCCGCTTCCCTAACCTTAGTTTGCAAGTTTTGTTGGCTTGTTTTTTAACAATGACTGGAGAAAATACGATTTTATCTTAATGTGCAAGGCCACTCACTGTCCAGGACCGCGATTGTTATTTACAATAGTTAATTTTAACGGACGGAACCAGATTGGCTGACCCGTACACGCTCACTCAATGGATGGACGATCTGACAGGATTAACGTTAACGCTACCTCCGGTTGAGTGGCCTGACTTCTACACCTAACGTTACCTGATAGAGAAACAGAGCGGAAAAAGAAACTGAGGGCATATAAATCTTTAGATGGTACGATCCGCAGTTCTGCCTAGCCAGCGCCAAGAAGACGACAATGTAAAGAGTGACATTACGGTGCAATGTTAATGATGTGAATATTTTCTAGAAATAAAAATTCATTTTTCATTGATTCTTGCACCCAACAACACAACAAGATGACATTTAATAATAATAATAATAATTTAAGCTCCTTATTATGTAGCCGAATCTGTGCTGGTTTGTATTGGCCGCCTCCAGTTGTCCGTTTGTTTTGCCTCCAGCTAGCGCCGTGACGTAACTGTGACATCGGCGCAAAAGGGGTCTATAGCTAACATAACAACAACTGATTGGCTCACTCTCTCTCCTCCCCATCATGAGTGGACACGCCCCCTCCTGCTGAATAGGCTTGTTTTGAGATGAGCAAAATCTGCGCAGAACCGATCACCGGTGATCACCGCGAGATGCATGCTGGTTAGAAATGTGTCCGAGTGCGGTCCGCCTTGCTCTGATGTCATGCTGACATATGTCAAAAAACTCTCGCGACCGCAAGGCGCACGTGTCGGATTCTGCAGCCGCGCGCAGTTGCTCTCCACCGACTGCGCTGATCAAAAGCATGACGGGAAATGACTTGCTGACGACACAGCTTAATGCTCATTGGTTTAAATAACCGTGATGTATTATTCTCTTTTAAAATGTTTGATTTAAAAAATCTGATATCATGTTTTATGTGTATACGTATGTTGTGTGTGAATAAACTCCCTGACAGTGCGATATGGGTTATGTGATGTCATTTTTATTAGAACAATATATATAAAAACACATGTCTGTATTAAAGAAAAAATTATTGATAAACACGTATTTTGGGTGTCTTGTTCATTATATTTATTTTCATATTTCTCAAAGAAGCCTATTGACTCACTCTTTCCTCCTCATCATGAGTGGACACGCCCCCTACTGCTGATTGGCTCACCCCCCCCCCCCCCCCCCCTCCATGAGTGGACACGCCCCCTACTGCTGATTGGCTCACTCTCCTACCTCCTCATCATGAGTGGACACGCCCCCTACTACTGATTGGCTCACTCTTTCCTCCCCCCTTCATGAGTGGACACGCCCCCTACTGCTGATTTGCTCACTCTCTTTCCTCCTCATCATGAGTGGACACGCCCCCTACTGCTGATTGGCTCACTCTCTTTCCTCCTCATCATGAGTGGACACGCCCCCTACTGCTGATTGGCTACAATGTCTTGTGCTGCTCGGTCCGATCTCCTTTCTCAGAAATCACTTAATGCACCTTTAAACAATAAAACTAAATTTCATTAACTTCAGTCAGCTTTTTTGTAGCTGAGGCTGAGTAAATCATTCCTTTAACCACACTTTAAACACTTTAGACAATCAATCTAATATCTACCGGACTATATTTAGGTGTGTATAAACAACCCATACTGACAGTTAACGTCAACCTTTTTGCATTTTAGTAATCTGATACAAAACCTGAAAGACGGGGATGCCACTCGATGCCCAACAACAGGTATGTAGTAACTTTTTTGTTCTGATTCCACATTAAAATCAGGGCTTTATTTAGCATGTTTTCCCCTTCATCAGCTACTGGGGAACCAAAGATCCGCACCCTGGTGCTGGGAAACAACATCAGGTTGCTGTGTCGAGCAGAGTCTAACCTGGCCCAGGTCAACTGGAACTTTGCTGGAAAGCCACTCCCCTACTCAAACAGGAAGTACACTATTTATAGTGATGGCATCCTCATCTACAATGCTTCAGCCAATGACGCTGGACTCTATACCTGCACGTCAGTCGAGCGGGCGAAAGGGAGACAGTACACCCAAACACTTGCCATTTATGACTTGCGTGAACGCTTACCAGTAGATGTGACGGAAAAGATTAAGACTACATTGGGAATACTTACTGAAAGCCACACAACATCATCAGGTTTGCATAAAATCGAAGACCCTCCATCATTTGCTATAAATCAGAGCCGTGAGAGGAAATGGGTTGTAATGCAAGTGGCGCTGGCCGTGATATCCGTTATGATGGCCTGTCTGCTGATCTGGAACTTGTACATGGGCCACATCTCTCCATTTATGTGCTGTGGGAGACAACCAATCAAAAGCCCCAGGAATCTTCCAGAAAAGGAATACATGCACACAGGAAATGACACCGTGGACAGTAAACAGACAATGGTCAGGTTGTGCGTCACAACAAACAGTAATACTGAAGCAACCAGCTTCCACAGGAATAACAGCAATGGGGATACGTCAACAGACAATCATATTTTTAAGTACATTTCGGATGAGTCTGAGATTTAAGATTTTTTTCATATAATTTTTATACTTATTTATTTTTTATTACTAATAAAAAAATACAAATTCATACATTTTAACTATAAAAGTTAAAAGTTGGTCAAAGCCTCATTTAAAAATTTTGATGTGAAAAAACTAAAATTTTCTTAAGAAATATGAAGGTAAAACATCCTACCAATCAGTAGCTGAATGTCAATTCAAGTCAGTATTATTTGGTGCCGTGACCCGGTGTACTCAAGCACACATTTCTTTACAACACTGTCTGTTCTCTCTCCTGTTTCACCTCAATTAATACTATGAATTTGGACACACTACTCATTTCACATACTGCTTTTCACCTATTATTTAGTAGGGAAGTACGCATATTTAGACGCAGAGAGTGACCGCAATAAAAGCGACTACAGTCTGAAAAGTAATGTTTTTATTGAACTGAAGCTGGAGAGCCATTCCAGTCACATGTCATATGCAGGATTGTTAAATACATAGGCTACACAAAGTCAGTCATGAAACGCTGCAAAATCAACCTCCTGTAGCTCTGTGGAGGGAGATATTGAGCAAAAAGGACCAAAGATCAAGTCACATATTAAAAATGAGTGTTTTAGCCTCCAGCCAACCACAACTGTAAACTCGAGATGAAACCAGGAATAAATGCGCAATGCATATTTATATGCCAGTAGTAAAAATAGCACAGGATATAGCCACATCCACCAATAAATTGTAGCACTTGAGGGAAACTCGAAAGCTATTGGTTCACACATGCTTAATATGCATGAAGAATTAAGGCTGTCTTCATTTCAAAGACGTGAAAAGCTTTAAACAGAAAGACAGCAGGCACAAGATGTGTTTGCAAGGAAACATTCCCGGGCATAGAATTTTAAAAAAAATCTGAAACGCTTTGCTGCAGTGTATAAAAGGGGCGTGTCATATGCAAATCATACCATTTACAAAGACATTCAATTCATGATACTTGTGAATCTTAAAGTATAAGTGAATAATTATCCGAAGTAAAAAAAATGTTTAAATTAACTGCAAAAGCGCTGATGTGGAAGAGTTGCAAGATGGATTTTTTTTAGGTAAATAGAAAAGCTGCCATGATTTAGAAAAGAACACTCAGACATGCTTTTTCCCCTCTCAAAAATCACTTTCCCTAAAACAGTAAAGCAATTGTGTATCGTATATATATACAGTCAAGCCCAAAATTATTCATACCCCTGGCAAATTCTGACATAAAGTTACTTTTATTCAACCAGCAAGTTTTTTCTTCATTAGAAATGACACAGGCGTCTCCTAGAAGATAAGACGACGATGTACATGAGGCATCGTTGTGGAAAAACATTATTACTCATCTTTTATTTACATTTGAACAAACAGTGGCATGTCCAAAATTATTCATACCAGTCTTAATAATCAATCGAAAAGCCTTTATTGGCTATTACAGCAATCAAACGCTTGCTATAATTGCTGACCAGCTTTTTGCATGTCTCCACTGGTATTTGTGCCCATTCATCTTTAGCGATGAGCTCCAACTCTTTCAGGTTGGAGGGTCTCCTTGCCATCACCCTGATCTTTAGCTCCCTCCACAGATTCTCAATGGGATTTAAGTCAGGACTCTGGCTGGGCCACTGCAAAACGTTAATGTTTTTGTCTGCTAACCATTTCTTCACCACTTTTGCTGTGTGTTTTGGGTCGTTGTCGTGCTGAAATGTCCACTGGTCCCCAAGGCCAAAGTTTCTCTGCAGACTGCCTGATGTTGTTGTTGAGAATTTTGATGTATTGCTCCTTTTCATGGTGCCATTTACTGTGATTAGGTTCCCTGGTCCACCGGCTGAAATGGCATGTTTGACATGGGGATGGTGTTCTTAGGGTTGAAGGCTTCTCCTTTTGTACGCCAAATGAAGGCTACATCATTGTGGCCAAACAATTCAATTTTTGTTTCATCTGACCATAAAACAGAAGACCAGAAGTCGTCTTCTTTGTCCAGATGAGCCTTATCTGGAGAAGTGGTGTCCTCCTTGGTCTGCGTCCGTTGAACCCAGCGGTGTGCAGTGTCCGTTGAACTGTCTGCCTTGAGATGTTGTCACCAGCAGAGCCCAGATTCATTAGGATGGCCTTGGTGGTGATCCTTGGATTCTTTTTTATCCTCCTGGCCAGCACAGGTGTCACTTTTGGCTTCCGACCACGTCCTCTGAGATTTTTCAGTGTGGAACGTCTTGTATTTTTTAATAATACTTGGCACTGTAGCCACTGGAACTTCAAAACATTTAGATATGGTCTTATAGCCCTTTCCTGACTTGTGAGCAGCCACAATGCGCAGCCGCAGGTCCTCAGTGAGCTCCTTTGTCTTAGCCATGACGGTCCACAAACCAACAGCAGAGAGCTTCTGTTTTTCACCCGTTGAGTTGATTAAAACAGCTGTTCCCAATGAATCAGGGTAATTAGGATGCTTTAGAACAGCTTGGACTATTTGGAATGGTATAGACTATCTTTGGATTTTCCCATAGACTGTGACAGTTTGCAAAGGGTATGAATAATTTTGGACATGCCACTTTTTGTTCAAATGTAAATAAAACATGAGTAAAAAAAAAATTCCACAATGATGCCTCTTGTACATCGTCTTATTATCTTCTGGGAGACGCCTGTGTCATTTCTAATCAAGAAAAAACTTGCTGGTTGAATAAAAGTAACTTTAAGTCAGATATTTGCCAGGGGTATGAATAATTTCGGGCTTGACTATATATATATATATATATATATATATATATGCATTTCCATCCATTTGTTTTAACATGATCTTTGAATTAAATTTGATATGCAACTATTCTTTTCATTTCCAAACAAGTCAATGCAATGACAAGAAAAATCAAGGCTCAGATGAACTGAAGGCATCTGATGAATTCATCAATTTAATATTAAATAACAGTGTCCTTTTTTTCTATTTTTGAACTAATGTTCTGCCATTTTGCCGTCAGTGTGAGGGTAGTATGTGTTGAGATGTCTTTAAAGGAGCAGTTTGCCTATTTTGATTGGTAATTTAACCTTCTGGTTAGCGTTTCTCTCAGAATTTGCACCCAGAACAGGGTTTTGACACATTTTCGATCGTCATTCACTTCTATTTAAGTCAGTGTTCAAGAGATCTACTCTTTATAGCTCAAAAAAAAAAAATGTTATACACATTCTTTTAAGGAGTGATTAACATTAAATCTTTTTGCTATATATAAAAAAAAAAAAAAAGTACAAAAGCAAAATAACCATTCACAAGTCTGTGATCTGGCTGAAGAGTTTTCTTACATTCTCTGCACAAAAATATTTGGTAACGTCCCTCTGCAAACCGCCCCTTTGACGTTAAGACAAACAGTGGTGCTCTTGCTCCATCTGTAGTTCAGAAAAGGTATCACCAGGGTCCACTCTCTGGGTAGTTGGGCACAGCGGCTGGATACTGGGGCAGGCTGGGGCCAGTTTCAGAGATGGCGTTGAATCCGGCTTCTCTCACAGGGGCGTTCTTCCACACACCCGTGCTCCACTCTTCCTGCGCCCGCTGTAAACTGCCTCCTCCACCACGATATAGTCGATGGACCTTTGAGGGGGCAACAGTAATGTGACACTTTGCTCTTTTGTTTTAACTTAAGGATTTGCTCTTTAAAGTAAAACTTTTTTTAGTAGTAATGAGTTAAGGGTTGTTTGTGTGTGTGTTCAAATCATACCTTGATGAGAACAAGTCCCATGAGAACCGTAACTACGGTAAAGAGCAGAGTACAGATGAGCATGAATATAGCAGAGGTTACATTCGTGCTGAAAAACATCACTGTGGCAATCCAACCACTGCGAAGAGAGGAAAATATGGCGAGTTAACATCATTGAAAGTATTAAAATGGCCACACAAAAATTGGATTTATTGATACAACACAAGTTAAGCTCAATCCTTATATTGATTAACACAAAAAGATCCCTTTTAAAAACTAAGAATTACCGTTTGGGGCCGGTAATATTTTTAAAATGTTTTTGAAAGAAGTTTATTAACGGTACTGTGGTATAGAGCAGGGCGGGAGAGCGAGAGCCTGGGGTATTTTACCTTGCTGTCTTTATTATGCTTATATGCCACAGCCGGCCACTGCCGCTTCTTTTTGCTTTGTTGTTTATGCATATTTCATTATGTTTAAAGCGATTAAAGTTACGTTTAAAGTAACATTTATTACATTCCAATAAAACAGCCGCAAGTGCTGAATCACTACTCATGTCACTTTATCTGATGAATTAAAATTGTGGGGTAACGCAGCGCTGTTTTACTTGTTTAAAACAATCACACTAAAATATGTTTAAGTGTGTTGAAAGTTATGTTAACGTTACTCTGTGCGTTCGCTCGGTGGCTGTTATGAGACCCTTGTTGCACACTGCTGTAAGCTACCGATATTAGAATATCATATTAATAAAAGATGAATGACTTGTGTTGCTAAATGGCATGCAGTTAATTTAAAATATTGTATTGTGGAGAAAATGCTGTATTAGGCTACTGTTACTACGAAAAAAGCTCTTTCTGATTTTGCAGTGTTAGCCATTTGACAAAATAATGTCTCTGAGGCATGGTACAAACATGGTACTCATGGTAAAAGAGATTCAAACAATAAGATTAACCATGTTAAACTCTATAACAATGATTCGTTTTCTGTCGATAAAAGCTTCAAAACAGTTGCTCACCTGTCTAATAAAACACACATCATATAAAGCATCTTTGGTGTTTTCATGGTTTCGACAAAAGTAAAACCGACTTTGAGGGTAATGCAGATATGATGTGGTGACGCAATGACACGGGCCATTACACTGGTTAAAATAGCTGATTTCTCTAGATTTAAACATTGTTGGAAACATTTGGGATAATTTAAGTACACAACTCAACAAATTGACATTGTTCTAGTGGTTTTTGGACACTTTAATCCAAAAAATCTTCTATATTGTGTCTTTAATGCATCTTTGCTGAACAAAGCTGTGGTCAAACTTAAAAATAAGGAATTTTTAATGACCTAATATTCCTTTTTCTTGCAGGATTAACATTTATATGCTTTTGAAAACTAAATGTCCCCAACACTTGGGCCAAAGTTAGTGTTAGAGTTGAAATAACGGATGCAGATGGAAAAGACTAGACTGTTGTTTAAATATATAAACTCATGACTTGAGTAACAAGCTGAAGTAATCAAGAAATCCAAATTTGCTTCAACCTAGTAACTGAGGAGGATTTGCTGAATTAGACATACTAGTGCAATGCCCGTGCAAAATCTGTTTTTGTGTGTTTTTAGTAATTGTTGGTTTGGTATGTTTGAGTTGCTGAATAGCGTAGGCTACTATTACACAGGAGCCTAAACTCTGAGAAAACGATAACATTAAGCGCACCAGAATAAAATATAATATTCAGAATTAAACAGTGTAGCTGACTTACAGATTCAGTTAACATCCACAAATGAATAAGCACGACAATTCAGGGGAGGTTCAGACCTTGGCTGGAGCAAGCTCAGTGAACTCCGATTAAACGCTACGCTTGAGCAAACAGTTTGTGAATAGGCTACTACAAATGATGGCCGTGAATAAAATAAAATATTCAGATATTTTTAAAACCACAACCCTCTCATGTCAGAATGTTTATTTTTAAACCACAACCTTCTAAACATCATCTAACCATCCTCAATGTGTGTTTCTTTTACAGAGATATGCGAATAACAGACACACAGACGGACGTTTCTGTAATTTATAGAGAGATGTATGTGTGTCTGTGTATATAGGCTATATTATATTTATATATACTGTATATTATACGTGTGTGTGTACTGTACATTTTTTTTAATCGCGATTAATCGATTTGACAGTATGTATGTGCAAAATCAGTTTTTGTGTGTTTTTAGTAATTGTTGGTTTGGCGTGTTTGAGTGCTCATTGTTACAATTACACAGCGAAAGTTCAGTGACATTTTTATTTGTGCATGGTTGAAAGGAAATACTGATACTGACATAATGACATACAATAAATATGGAAATTTTAACTACATATATAACTAACTAACTACTGACAACTAACTACCTACAATATTCAGAAGTAAACAGTGTAGCTGACAGAATGTTTAGCTGACAGAATGTTTATTTTTAAACCACAGCCCTCTAATGTCAGAATGTTTATTTTTAAACCACAGCCCTCTAATGCAGTGGTTCTCAAAGTGTGGGGGGCGCAAGGATACTGCAGGGGGGCGCGGGAGATCAGCAGAAAAAAAAAAAAAAAAACAGCCGTTGCAACGACGTTCAAGTGCGTGAATAGCGGTCAGCGCTCTGTCTTAATAAAGCAGCATCCAACTGCAATAACACACTGAATCGTTCTTCTTCAGACCGTTGACTTGTCACCGTTGGAACAAGCCTAACATAGAAGTCTCTCGCCGTAGAAAAGCACTTCTTCAGCGAACCGAAACTCAAGCTGCTATTGTGAACGCGCCTCTCCCCTGCTGTGCAGTGCGTGTTCTGGTGAGAAGACCAACAAGAAGCTGAGCTCGTGACTGAGGCGCTGTCAAAAGCAGTCATATATTTGCGCTTTTATATATCGTTCATCCAAAGCATCACTGAAATATTTAAATGTTTTTTGTTTATTTCAATTAAAAGTTAAGTTCTGAATTATTATTCTCTCTTACTGTTATATGAAATAATGACATTACAAAGTGAAACTATTGCAGGTGTTTTTCAATGCACTTTTTTTTCTTATCTTTCCGATTTTATTTATGATTTTTTTAATTAAGAAAAAAAGTTTGAGCGTGACGAAAAAAGTTTGAGAACCACTGCTCTAATGTCAGAATGTTTATTTTTAAACCACAATTTTTAAACCATAACCCTCGAATGTCAGAATGTTTTTTTTTAAACCACAATTTTTAAACCACAACCCTCTAATGTCAGAATGTTTATTTTCAAACCACAACTTCAATGTGTGCTTCTTTCACCGATATCTTTTGCATTTCTAATCCAAACAACATCAAACTTAGCACTGCACTTACTCGTGCCTGTAGCAAGACACCTGTCAAGTTTGAAATCCATCGGACTAACGGTTCGAGAGATATGCGATTAACAGACAGATAGACAGACAGACGTTCCTGTAATTTATAGATAGATAAAGAACCAATCATGTTGGAGAAAAAAGATGTAATAGATCATGTCACCTTTTTCATGCTCCTATTCTATAAAAACTGTTTCACTCTTTTTGCTGGTGGGGATTTTCTATGAAATTGGTCTGAGATCCTCCGGCCGTGATTAAAACATATTCAAAGGCATTGACTGGAGTCTGTCTGATTACTGCTGCGCGGCAGGATACACACTAGAGATCTTATTTCCATTCTCAAGTGATAGTGTTGAAAAGGGACGAGATGTCGTCCGACTCGAAGCCCAGTAGAGTATAAATTTGTATGTGATGATTAGGTGACGCCTCAGGTTAACTTAAGTCAGGTGGGTAGGAGAAATCTACCATCTATTTGCATCTATGTTTGTTTTCATTTTTAATTAAGCCACAAATTATGTTAACTCAACTCATATAAAATATTGAATATCCTAACATTTCAATGTTACTCACCATGCACCCCAACCTGATATTCCAAGACTCTGGATGAAAGCGAGAACACATTGCAGGAAGAAAATGAAGAAGAAGGTCATGAAGTTGAAGGAACTATCAGCCCTGAAAAGACACACAAAAAAAAAACGGTTCAATCAAAGTGGAAAACCAACCTCAGCAAATTTGTATTTCGCCAAAAAGAGTTTCCTTGCCTGAATGCTTTATAGAGCGGCCTGAACCAGCAGGTATAGCTACATGGGCTGAAAACCAGCAGCCAGAGGATAGAAAAGCCAAAGTTGATCGCTCCACCCCCTCCGGCCCACCAGGCTATGCAGGCCACCACATTAACACAAAGTGTGATAGAGTATACTGGAAAAACAGAATAGCAGTCATCAAATAAAGGAATCAGATCTTAAAGTGATAGTTCACCCAAAAATTATCATGTTGTTCCAAACCTGTAAGACTTTCGTTCATCTTCGGAACGCAAATGAAGATCTTTTAATGAAATATGAGCCAGTTCTGTACTCTCCATTGACAGCTGCGTCATATTGACAGCTACTCCATTGACATATTCATCATATAAAGCGATCGTGTCTCCTGAAAATGTGGACTAAACCGCTCAATTCATTTGGATTAGTTTTACGATCTCTTAATATGAACTTTTTGAAGCGTCAAAGTGGTAGTTCCATAGCTGTCAATGCAGGGACAGAAATCTCTTGGATTTCATTGAAAATATCTTCATTTGTGTTCCGAAGATGAACGAAAGTCTTACGAGTTTGAAAAAACATGAGGGTGAGTAAATGATGACAGAATTTTCATTTTGGGGTGAACTATCCCTTTAACTGCTTCTGTCAAACTTAGGAACTTCTGAAACCAAACTATTCCCAGTAAAGTTTGCATTTCTTCACTCACAGATCCAAAGATTGTAAACACGACGCACAAGCTGGCAGTGAGGTTGCGGAATTTCCTCGTCCACATTCTGGTAAAAACATGGCTTTATGCGAAGAAACTTCGGCAGAGGGGGGAAGTTGTTTGCTCGATCTGTCAGGCAAAAAAGGAAATTATTCATTTTTTTTAACCACAGCGATAAGAAGGGACAAAAAAGCAGATAAAAACAGAGACATTTATAATGTTTTAATGCCAACCAAACCTGACCTACCTGTCATTTCTCAATTTTGAGAAAGGGTGGATAATGTTGATGTTTCTGGTGCTAATTAACTTTTCCCTCTCTGAACTGATATACTGATGTTTTCAGTGCTAAAAGACACACGGATATCCTAAAAACATGCAAAACATTATTAAAAATAGTTTAGGATATAATAATCGGCCTTTAAGTTCTGACCACACAACTTAAGTACATTGAGTAACTGATAAATAACTGTTGATAATGCGACATAAGATCATAACAAATTTAGAGCTGTGTTGTTGATTAAAAGAATTCTACATTAACGATATTTTACAGCATTTTTGAAAACATAGCACAGGCCAACAGCTAACCATGCACTGTCAAACACAACTGCAGTAGAAAATCAACAGTCAAACTATACCACATCTACGCAAATTAGAAATGCTATTTCATGTGCTAAAAAAAAAAAAAAACATTGCTTTGATGATATAATAAAACTTATTTTCGCGACGATACGATACCTGTGCAACGTTAAATAATTTGTTGTGGATGCGTCTGCAGTCTGCATTGAATCCTGGCGATCACGTGGCGGACTGGAAGCGTTCTGATGCATTGTGGGAAAAGTAGTTCTAAACGGAGCTTGTTTTGTGCGTGGCAGACGGACGTTTTACCTGTTGAACACTACAAGCCCCATCACAAGATGATCAAAGGTGTGGTCTCAGCGCTTGTGACTATATTTATCAGTTTCCCTGCCTTGTGGCAATGAATAAATATGACACATTTCTGTTATTTTTGGTAGCAACTTGTGAATATTTTCGTACTTTGGAATTTCATTTTATCTCAAGATAATTCAAGATCTTTTGCGTAATTACTGACGTTTGTACTTAGCTGTTCAAATATCAATCTTTAAATGTGTCAAGCCTCTTCAAAAACAAGGACTCATTTAATCTCAACAGTTTTATTTAGAAAAACACTATTCAATTCTTAAACTGCTTTCCGTAACAGAAACCTTCAAAACACCAAGCCAAAGCAGTTAGTTAGTTGCACGGAATAACTTTGTGACTTGTTATTTTCATCTGACCAATCCTACTCGAGAATCACACTCACTGTCAAATCACAGCTTTTTGTACGTCTTGCGAGGCGGGACCGACCGTGACAGCCAATAACGTGACTCTTCGTTGATCTGACGTAGGACGCCTCTGGCCAATCACAGCCTGCGATCCATCCCTGCAACAGGCTCCCGCCAATTCTGAGCGAGGAGCGCGAGGGAGTCTAGCCGGGGATGATACGGGAGCGACGGGACTAGGATTACACACGAAAAAACAGAATCTACAACTCTAAAAGTTACAGAAACTCATCAAATTTGCAGTTGACACGTTAATGCTACAACTGGGAAAGACGTGGAGTCGATGACTAGCCTTAAGAGGTTGTGCACGGAGTCGAAAAAAGCGCTCCCCGTTTCCGTTTAACGTTTCCAGTAAGACGACTGCGCGAGCGCACGGAGCTGAAAGGCGCGCGGATGGTGGTCGTGATGCTCGCGGCTGAAGAGCCTTTGGCCTCCACTCCACGCAGAGGTTTGATGTTTAATGTGAAATAAAACTGAGTTAAAGCTTGAATAGAGTCTGTTCACCTGGAATAGTTTGATAAATAAAGGCATAGACGGCTACTAGCAGAAAAGTATAGAAACACCACTTATTACCTGAAATTAATTCTAAAACAATTTTAGTCTAACTCAGTTTCTCTGACAAACGATAAGAATATCATTTTAATGATTTTTCCAGGTAGTATTTGGGGTTGTCGAGGGTTTTATAACCTTAATTAGCATGTTAGCAGGTGAGCTATAGGCTCAGATTTGTTATTTGACATTTTAGCTTTCTACACACAAAATGTGACTTTCCTCACGTATAATGTTTATTTTTTTCCTGTATTCGTGGTGGTGTGTCGAAGCACGTCCCATTTATGTTGTTTTGAGCTCAATCCAGCTCTTTGTTCCTCAGTCTTGCGCTAATGGATGAACTTTTCACGTATTCACTTGTTCAGTCGCCAAACTGGCCTACAAACCATCATTCACTGAAAGGCGGGAGATCAAAAATAAACATTTTACGTGTAGTAACTTACGTGCCTGTCGTTACTTCGAAAACCTGTAAGCGTTCTGCGTTTTATGTGAGGACTTTTGGGCATTGAAAAGATTAAAGTTACTCTTTATCCTCTAAAATAAATTCGGATGTGACTGTCAACTGGTAACGTTAGTTAGCATTTAGACGTAACGTTAGCTTTCACCTTTATGTCGAGACGTGCTTTGACAAGAAGTTGTTTTTTTTTTTGCCTGAAGTATTGATATTAACAACAATATCTCAAAGTTTACGTCAGAGTGATGTCATTTTATTTTGTTATGGCTTGGAGTATTTATGATGAAGGATTTGACCTTAACACACTCTTTATATTTCAGGCATGGATTGTGTGGGCAAAGCTAATACCAGCAAGAAGCTTATTCAAGGTAAACAACTCAAGTGTTGTTATTTCTGGTCAATAATGTAAAACCATCTTCACCCAGCAAAATACAATATGGTTTAGTAATAATCTGAGGACCCAATCTATTAGATTATTTCTATTGGGGAACTTGACATGAAATTATACTGTATTGGCTGAATTTGGCTCACTTCTAATATATCAGTACATTCAACAATTTAGAGGGTGTCAAGTGACAGTGACAAATGTTATTTTAAAGTGTTCCTGTCTTTGGACTCAATTCCTGAAAGGTTAAAATGAAAATGCAAGAGCTTTTCCTTAAAGTATTTTTAACTTTTAAAAACACATCAAGACTTATTCTGTGTTCCATTTACCTCGGATGAGGGATGTTATAGCCTGGGACTGTCACACCGGAGTTAACCGTTTTCCAGTACACAGGTCGGAAACCTAACATGAACACGTCCAGGCAAACCTTTGTTGTGCTTGCTATTTTGAAATGGAAATGCAAAAAAGCAGTATTTTGCACTGAAGAAAGTGAAATGTGAAGGCCAAGTATGGTAACCCACACTCTGAATTTCTCCTCTGCATTTAACCCGTCTATGGTAGTGCGCACACACATTGGGAGTAGTGAACACACACACTGCACATCGTGGACCCAGAGCAGTGGGCACCCATTTCTTGCTGTGGTGCCTGATGAGCGATTGGGGGTTAGGTGCCTTGCTCAAGGGCACCTCAATCATTTCCTGCCAGTATTGAGGATCGAATCTGCAACCTGGTTACCAATCTGACACTCTAACCATTAGGCCTCAACTGCCCCCCTGTGTTTGAGACCGACAAATAGCTGAGCAGCCATATTGGATTCTAAAGTCGGGGTTGTTCTGCGTCTCCCGAGTTTCTCAATCGCAACTCTGACTTGAGGGGATATTCCAGTTAAAACTTCCTACTAGGGACTAGGAATTTCCCACTTCCGATGACAAATGAACGTACCATAAAGGACGAGGAATTTAAGAGTTTTTCTTTCTTTTTAAAAAAAGTTGTTTTAAGGTTTGTTTGTTTTTTCTTCTTTTCTAATGGTGGTTTTACTTTACTGTAGGATGATAAAAAGGTAGAGCAAATAGTTATCCATAATGTAAAATAGAATACGTTATGAGAATATTAAGTCTTTAAACCCAATATAAATTAATAGCATTTAACATTGCATTAAAACATTTTTTGGGATGTTTATGGAAAGTCTGTTTTTTTTTATTATAAATATAACTTCAGAGAAGTTAATACTATGATTCAGTCTAGTCAGTGGATATCAAACATGTATGATTTTTTGAGCTGATTTTAGAACACATTGTTTTCATTTGTCATGCATCTACTAGCAACGAGGCACGTTTTTGACTTTGTTTTGTTGGAACAACTTAAGTCTGGTAGTGTGCAATCCTCAGTCATTTACAATGTACGATACCCATTTGTTCTCTGACCAGCAAATGTATAATCCCAAGTGTTTTAAAATCTGTTTAGATTTTGAAAGTAGTTTTGTGTATTCCTGCCTTAACCAACAATGTTACCTCCCTACAGCACGTCTACCTTTTAAAAGGCTCAACCCAGAACCCAAGGAATGCAGTGAACCCAAAAGAACCAAAGGTCCGGTTGCTCCAAAGTGTTCTGAGCCAAGCGCATCTGATGGAGAAAATGAGATCGACAGCTCCTCCTCCCCGATGCACCGTGGCCCGGCTCTGGTAAACGGCCGCGGTCCACTTGATTGCTTCATGAGCCGACGGAAGCGTTCCCCGGCCCGCTCTGTCCCTGAAGCCACCATCGACCTCACCGAAGACTCAAATGAGGCCGTCAAAAACCAGCCTGCACCTCCGGTTGCTGCCACCTGCCCCCTTAGTGAAAAACCGACAAAAACTGCAGAAGATACCACAAAATCTACAGAACCAACCACGCCACTGACAGATAAAGAGACTGAAAAGGATGAGGAAGAGGATGAAGACACCCTCCCACTGCTGGACATAACTCAGGAGTCTGAGACGGATGAAGAGGAGCAGCAGGAGACTGAAGTCAGTCCCGGGAATGAGTCTGTGTTGTCGACTGGATCTACCAGCTCCCTCTCAGTGATAGAGAGCTCACCAGAGCCTAGCAAGAGTGCTCCTACCACCCCTGTCTCCGTGAGTAGTCATGAAGCAATTTTTATTTTCCTTCTTTGCTAAAAGTTTAACCTATTGATCAGTCTCTTTTCTTTACGCAGACATCACAAATAAATGCTGCCAGTACAACGAAGCGACGTTCCCTTAAGGTAAAATCCTGCATTTTACAACATTTAGAAACCCACAATTTTAATGTAATGTTAATCTGGTCCTATATAAACAGCATGTGCCATTGAATTGAATCATTGAAACATCTTTAAATCCAAAATAAATGCAAAGAAACAAAGAGCTTAGAACTATTTTATTTAAAAATCTGTACATTTAGACGTGTACATGTAAAAAGTCAATGAGTGACTGATTGAAAAGTTAGTAATAAAACGAACAACAAAGTTACATAGAAAAAGTGGCAGGTCTATAATTTTGCATTTACACTCTAATACCAATGCACAGATCATTTGACATACAGTATCAGATTGTTTTGATCTGTCCAATGGTGTGGTTATTAGGGATGGGAATTGATAAGATTTTATCAATATCAATGGCACTAACGATTCTGCTTATCGATCCGATTCTTTAATGATTCTCTTATCGATTCCTGATAGCACTGTGTGGAAAAAAAGTAGTCATATGCTTTTTCGGGGGGAAAAACAAGTGGTTTTATTTGTTTTAAAGCTTACACTTGAGTAAGCAAACTGTACTTATGTAATTTATGTAATAAATGGAATCTTATTGTAAAGTGTTACCGATTTGTTATACACCGATTAAACGTCCCGTGAGTTCAGTGTTGGAAAAATCAGTTGTTTTAACCATCCATTAAAACGAATCGGTTCAAATTAGTCATTAGTTCGTGAATTGGACGTGTCATTATCGGACGTGTGCGCATTGTGTGATTATCCCGGCGGTTGGGACATCCCACAAGATGCATCATCACAGAAAAAATTTCATCACTGGATATTTTTTTCCGTTTATTTAAAGTGTGGTTTATGTCAGCTGAATGTGCGGAACACTTTTCAGAGAAGATAAGGCAACGTATTTTAGCACAATTCACACCCAGCGGTAGCCTAATCGACCGTTCGCAAAAGCCACGCCCCCTAGTTATTGTTACTACGCCCGTCAAACAAATGGTCAAACACGACCAGCGCGACAGATTGCCGTGGCGGGAAGAGGTATACCCGTGCGTGTCAGTGACCTTTTTTGGAGCAATACCTCTGCGATATCCTCCAGATAGAGGCACAAGGGGTTACAGTATGCAGTGGAGGGAAATATTCAAAATATAAAAATACGCAATGAAGGAGACACGACTACTATCGAGGCGAATGCTTTACCGGTCTCAAGCGAAATCTGAGAAACCCCATGACCTGTACCTCAAATGCAACCAGCACAGCCTTGAAGAAGATTTTATAAGCTGGTTCAATGGCTAATTGTTTGGAGTTAGAAATATATAACTCGCGCTGCATATTTAGAAATGTATAACTCGCGCTGCATATTTAGAAATGTATAACTCGCGCTGCATATTTAGAAATGTATAACTCGCGCTGCATATTTAGAAATGTATAACTCGCGCTGCATATTTAGAAATGTATAACTCGCGCTGCATATTTAGAAATGTATAACTCGCGCTGCATATTTAGAAATGTATAACTCGCGCTGCATATTTAGAAATGTATAACTCGCGCTGCATATTTAGAAATGTATAACTCGCGCTGCATATTTAGAAATGTATAACTCGCGCTGCATATTTAGAAATATATAACTCGCGCTGCATATTTAGAAATGTATAACTCACGCTGCATATTTAGAAATGTATAACTCGCGCTGCATATTTAGAAATATATAACTCACGCTGCATATTTAGAAATATATAACTCGCGCTGCATATTTAGAAATATATTACTCGCGCTGCATATTTAGAAATATATTACTCGCGCTGCATATTTAGAAATATATAACTCGCGCTGCATATTTAGAAATATATTACTCGCGCTGCATATTTAGAAATATATAACTCGCGCTGCATATTTAGAAATATATAACTCGCGCTGCATATTTAGAAATATATAACTCGCGCTGCATATTTAGAAATGTATAACTCGCGCTGCATATTTAGAAATGTATAACTCGCGCTGCATATTTAGAAATATATAACTCGCGCTGCATATTTAGAAATGTATAACTCACGCTGCATATTTAGAAATGTATAACTCGCGCTGCATATTTAGAAATATATAACTCACGCTGCATATTTAGAAATATATAACTCGCGCTGCATATTTAGAAATATATTACTCGCGCTGCATATTTAGAAATATATTACTCGCGCTGCATATTTAGAAATATATAACTCGCGCTGCATATTTAGAAATATATTACTCGCGCTGCATATTTAGAAATATATTACTCGCGCTGCATATTTAGAAATATATTACTCGCGCTGCATATTTAGAAATATATTACTCGCGCTGCATATTTAGAAAATATATAACTCACGCTGCATATTTAGAAATATATAACTCGCGCTGCATATTTAGAAATATATAACTCACGCTGCATATTTAGAAATATATAACTCGCGCTGCATATTTAGAAATATATTACTCGCGCTGCATATTTAGAAATATATTACTCGCGCTGCATATTTAGAAATATATTACTCGCGCTGCATATTTAGAAATATATAACTCGCGCTGCATATTTAGAAATATATTACTTGCGCTGCATAAATATATAACTCGCGCTGCATATTTAGAAATATAACTCGCGCTGCATATTTAGAAATATAACTCGCGCTGCATATTTAGAAATATATTACTCGCGCTGCATATTTAGAAATATATTACTCGCGCTGCATATTTAGAAATATATTACTCGCGCTGCATATTTAGAAATATATTACTTGCGCTGCATATTTAGAAATGTATAACTCGCGCTGCATATTTAGAAATATATAACTCGCGCTGCATATTTAGAAATATATTACTTGCGCTGCATATTTAGAAATATATAACTCGCGCTGCATATTTTGTAAATATATTACTTGCGCTGCATAAATATATAACTCGCGCTGCATATTTAGAAATATATAACTCGCGCTGCATATTTAGAAATATATAACTCGCGCTGCATATTTAGAAATGTATAACTCGCGCTGCATATTTAGAAATATATAACTCGCGCTGCATATTTAGAAATATATAACTCGCGCTGCATATTTAGAAATATATTACTTGCGCTGCATATATAGAAATATATAACTCGCGCTGCATATTTAGAAATATATAACTCACGCTGCATATTTAGAAATGTATAACTCGCGCTGCATATTTAGAAATATATAACTCACGCTGCAGATTTAGAAATATATAACTCACGCTGCATATTTAGAAATGTATAACTCGCGCTGCATATTTAGAAATATATAACTCGCGCTGCATATTTAGAAATGTATAACTCGCGCTGCATATTTAGAAATATATAACTCGCGCTGCATATTTAGAAATATATAACTCGCGCTGCATATTTAGAAATATATTACTTGCGCTGGATATTTAGAAATATACGCGCTGGATATTTAGAAATATATAACTCGCGCTGCATATTTAGAAATATATTACTTGCGCTGCATATTTAGAAATATATAACTCGCGCTGCATATTTAGAAATATATAACTCGCGCTGCATATTTAGAAATATAACTCGCGCTGCATATTTAGAAATATATAACTCGCGCTGCATATTTAGAAATATATAACTCGCGCTGCATATTTAGAAATATATTACTTGCGCTGCATATATATAAATATATAACTCGCGCTGCATATTTAGAAATATATAACTCACGCTGCATATTTAGAAATGTATAACTCGCGCTGCATATTTAGAAATATATAACTCACGCTGCATATTTAGAAATATATAACTCACGCTGCATATTTAGAAATGTATAACTCGCGCTGCATATTTAGAAATGTATAACTCGCGCTGCATATTTAGAAATATATTACTTGCGCTGCATATTTAGAAATATATAACTCGTGCTGCATATTTAGAAATATATAACTCGCGCTGCATATTTAGAAATATATTACTTGCGCTGGATATTTAGAAATATACGCGCTGGATATTTAGAAATATATTACTCGCGCTGCATATTTAGAAATATATTACTTGCGCTGCATATTTAGAAATATATAACTCGCGCTGCATATTTAGAAATATATAACTCGCGCTGCATATTTAGAAATATATTACTTGCGCTGGATATTTAGAAATATACGCGCTGGATATTTAGAAATATATAACTCGCGCTGCATATTTAGAAATATATTACTTGCGCTGCATATTTAGAAATATATAACTCGCGCTGCATATTTAGAAATATATAACTCGCGCTGCATATTTAGAAATATATTACTTGCGCTGGATATTTAGAAATATACGCGCTGGATATTTAGAAATATATTACTCGCGCTGCATATTTAGAAATATATAACTCGCGCTGCATATTTAGAAATATATAACTCGCGCTGCATATTTAGAAATATATAACTCGCGCTGCATATTTAGAAATATATAACTCGCGCTGGATATTTAGAAATATATAACTCGCGCTGCATATTTAGAAATATATTACTTGCGCTGCATATTTAGAAATATATAACTCGCGCTGCATATTTAGAAATATATAACTCGCGCTGCATATTTAGAAATATATTACTTGCGCTGGATATTTAGAAATATACGCGCTGGATATTTAGAAATATATAACTCGCGCTGCATATTTAGAAATATATAACTCGCGCTGCATATTTAGAAATATATAACTCGCGCTGCATATTTAGAAATATATTACTTGCGCTGCATATTTAGAAATATACGCGCTGGATATTTAGAAATATATAACTCGCGCTGCATATTTAGAAATATATTACTTGCGGTGCATATTTAGAAATATATTACTCGCGCTGCATATTTAGAAATATAACTCGCGCTGCATATTTAGAAATATAACTCGCGCTGCATATTTAGAAATATATAACTCGCGCTGCATATTTAGAAATATATAACTCGCGCTGCATATTTAGAAATATATTACTCGCGCTGCATATTTAGAAATATATTACTTGCGCTGCATATTTAGAAATATATAACTCGCGCTGGATATTTAGAAATGTATAACTCGCGCTGCATATTTATTAATTTTGCCTCAGATACAGGATTATACATTTGCTTTAACAAGCAGGTTGTTCATTACCACGGCAACCGCTTGCGTGTCATGCTGAATGCGTTTTTCGTGTTTAAAAAGAAAATATACATAAGAGACGGAAAGATGCAGATAACCATACATTATTTAAGGTTATTTCTATTCGTTTGTTTCTATTGGAAACGTAAAGAACACAATTCCTCCAGACAATCTCTCGGGGTACCTAGTGTCCGATTTACAAACGCCGTGGGCGCACCGCTTCTCCATCTTGCTTGGAGTCAATGTTTGACGGACCTGCTCACATAGTAACGGTTGCTGTGATGTTTGATTGGATAATGGCCGTTTTGGGGGAGGGGCCGGCAAAAGGTCAATTCAGGAAAAACAAATCTCAGAATGCTCCACATGAAACTTTAGTCTCCCGACCTTACCATCGTGTCGTTTATTTTGATTAATATGTGCGCTTAGTTTTGAGACGGTGAAGCCTTACTTTCGCCTTGCTCCGAAGAGAGAGAGTGCGTGCCTGACCGGGGCTCTCTCTCTCTCTGCTCGTTCAGTTAAACATGCGCCCTGTCACAAGCGCATCAGGTCATCTACATTACTCACCGATCAAATAAGACTTTGGCGGTACAAAAATTCGCTTTGGACGCCGTGCTATGGTGCTTGATAAAGGACAAAAGGGACAGTTGTGAGTTCACGGTCTGTAGCCTACATACTAAGGCTGACTCAGAGCAGGAGCATCGACGTCGAGGGCATACAATATCGATGGATCGTAAAACTTAGAACCGGTTTTTAATTCCTATCCCTAGTGGTTATCAATGTCAATTGGATTTAATCATCCATTTAAATATGGTTGTCAATCCAGAAACTTTGCCATGTCAGGGCTTGACGCTTACTTTTTTCCCAATCCACACATGTGCGAGCGCATTTGTTTGACATTTATTTATTGAAGAGGAATAACCCCTTGAGATGAACCATCTCGTTTTCGAGGGGGTACCAAGAACACACATCAGTAAGCACATATTCATTCAAAAATGTAAAAGATGTAAAAAAAAAAAAAGATTGTTTGTTTTAATAAAAATATAATTAAAAAAATTAAATCAAGGACATTTCTCTGGCATTTCTTTCTTTTTGCTGAATCGAAAACGTAACGAACCGTGACACAAGTGTATCTTATCAAACCGAACCGTGAATTTCGTGAACCGTTACACCCCTAATATGCACAACAGAGGCACGTTCAGGAATTGAAATATGAAGCGCTCACATTTAATTAATGAAATCATGGCTTTTTGAAGTTTAATAATCGCATTAGGCAGTTTCGCGATTGTTTTTTCATTCCTAAAATATAAGATGCCTTAAACTGATCGCTTGTTATACCATTTAAGGTATTGAAGACTTTTTATGATCTTACATTTAAGAAAACTGATCCACACACGTACTCCAAACTACAATATACAGTTCGCACACATCTATTTTTAGTCACTATGGCTCTGTTTTTTTTTTATTTGGCAACAATGTCAACAGCTTGACGTCTGTCTGGAATGCAGGTCATGGGTACATATGCCCAAAGCTGATATCTTGGTGTGTTTTTCTACCCCAAAAGGAAATAAATAAATAAAATGTACCTCAATGTGAATGTTTGCACTCTAAGGATTCAAGGAGGATTGATTGTTTCCTTTTAAAATCTTGTCACTGTGGAATTTTGCTCTCTGTTTGAAAAGCCCTTTATTGTCTTTTTGTCCCTCAGAGTATCCAAGAGCAGGAGGAGAAGCAGCGACAGAGGGATGAGAAAGAACGCCAGAAACAGGAGGCCAAAGCTGCCAAGGAAAGGAAGAAAGAGGAGGCTCGCAAGCTGAAGGAAGAGAAGGAGAGAGAGAAGAAAGAGAAGAAGGAAAAAGATGAAAAGGAGCGGCGGGAGAAAAAGGAGAGGGAGGAAAAAGAAAAGGCAGAGAAACTAAAAGCTAAAGAAGAGCAGCGGCAAATGAAAATTGAGTGAGTGACCCAGTACAGCAGCACGATATTAGTTGCACTGGTTTTTTTCTGAGTATTAAACTCTGGTGTTAATCCATTTAGGGCCAGACTGGAAGAGAAAAGAAAGAAAGAGGAGGAAAAACGGTTGAAGGAAGAGAAAGAAGTAAGTGTTTTTATCTAAGGTTTTCTTTATTGCTGATTGCTTCATATTGTCCTCATTGTGTTTGTGCATCTCTTCAGCGAATCAAAGCTGGGAAGGCTGAGATTACAAGGTTTCTACAGAAGTCCAAGACCCAGTTGGCACCAAAGGTAAGAGTCATATTATTCCGTATACAGGGCTCGAATTTCGCTGTTGATGTTGCGCATAATTTTAATAATTTCCGCAGGTCTCCCGACTTTTAAGTCTTACCAGTTTAAACATTCAAGCGATTTTAAACTATTCAGTACTCGCGCGCTCTCTGAGAGATGGTTTTCTCTGTACTCGAACAGTAGCCTACATAGAGTAAAGCCGCCTCACAAACAGCTTGCGTGTACCTAAAGTTATTTTTTCGATTATATTGCGTTAACAGCCAAAAACATGCAAAAAAATTTAGTGCTGCCGCGATTAGTCGACGTAATCGACAATGCAAATTAGTTTACGCCAATTTTTTTAGACTGTGTCGTTTTACTATTGACCGCATATTTATTTTTGGTCTCCCGTTTCAAACGGGTCACTGTAATTCACCTCCACACACCAGTCTGTGCGCTGTGCGCGCCCTGCTGGTTAATCTGCTATCCTCTTCCTTCCCCCTTCACTGCTTTGATATGAAAAAGTGTAAACGCAAGTGTAAACTTAGCTGCGTGCCTGCCTGCTTTCAGCGCGATTCATTATAAGGCAGAGCTAAGCGTATAGGCTAGTCCAGACTCTTTCAATTCAATTCCAATTTATTTGTATAGCGCTTTTCAAAATACATTGTCTCAAAGCAGCTTTACCTAAAATGCATGCATTGCATATACTTGAGCCTACAATTCAGAGTGATGTTATCAGTTATGCATTTCAGAAATGTACATATAAAAATGTACAGTAAGCTAATAATGTATTAATTTAAGGCAGAACAAAGAGCTAATTTAAGTAATGAATACATACATGTTTGTTAATAGAGGATTAGATTAGGACTCAGTGTTTCCCCGGCGGCCCGGCCCGCCCCCCCAAAACGACCCCCCGCCCCCCCTAAAATGCTGACGAAATCCAGTCATAAAGGAATTTAAGTGGTAATTTGTAAATCTTTTGAGGAATAAATAGAAAGCAGTTCAGTACACTTGAAATCAAATCGCGATGTAGACATGTGTGTGGATATTAAACCACAAAGACAATTTAAATATGAATCCTGCTTGATCTGTGTGACTGTGAATGAATGGTGCAGCCGACGCGCAGTTTCATTTACCACACACACACACACACACACTGAAGCACGTGTGACGCTTGCGCAGTTTTTTGCCTATATGAAGACACAAATGCATGAACTTCCTCTCCAGGCTCTAGATCCACTCCGAAAGTCACTTCGTGATCATTTAGCCGCTTCATTTGAGAAAAACTATCATCATGACAGAAACACACAGTAACTCAAAAGGTCTTCACGGCAACCCGTCAAAATAAAAGTTCGGTTTAACTTGACAGAAATATATTACCGTTGTACAGTAGAATTTAGATGTGTCCCAATGTAATAATACACTAACACTAATCCAAATAAATTATCATCAAAACTGAATTTAAGGAATAATCCATGTTTTAATTTTAACAGTAAAGCTCATTGTGCAGCACGTTATTTGACAAAAAGTTTATTTAATTTCATATGATTAAAATTGATGATAAAAATGATAAAATTTGTGTTTTATGTCTTCGTTTTATTACCAGAAAAAACACAAGTTAGTGAAATTTATTTTCATTTTTTTTTTAAATGTTGTATAAGTTTAATGATTCATAATACATTATTTTAATTAATTAGACACACTTTTTGATTGCTAAAAAATGTGCACCATGTATCCGTAACACACCCGCACCGCAACAGCAGTTTCACACACACACACCTGTCATTAATTGTTTTTTTAAAGATAAAAAGATAGCTTTAATTTTAAGGAATCAGGATTAATAGCCTATGTTTTAAATTTAGTTAGGACTAAAATACTACCCAGTGTTATTTTACATTTGATTACTTTATTCAGTGTCTGTAGTATTTCTGAATAGTGTTAGACCTATCCAAAAACTGTATTTCTCTTTATTGGTATCTTTATCGTATTGTATTTATTTGTGCTACTTTTTAAAAAATGTAATTCAAAGATTGAAATCAAGCTTCCTTGTGTTCAAATGTTGCAAGAAATTGAACACATTTCAACCCCCCCCCCCCCCCCCCCCCACACACACACACACACACAGAAAAAAATAAAAATTCACAGAAGGGGGGATTTTGCAAAATGAAATTCAGGCACTGGTGTAGAATGAAGACCTACAACTAAACTACTTGAGTAAAACATTTACAAATGCTACATAAGATATTTTGAGAATGAGGCCTTGTTGGGCATTTAAAGGACGCACACACAAACGAGCAAAAACAAATCTACCAAATCGAAAAATCTTCCCTAGTGTTTTAATCTCCAAACGCATTGTGTGTTTCAGACTCTGGCATCTGCCTGTGGGAAGTTTGCTCCTTTTGAGATTAAAGCGCACATGTCTCTGGCACCACTGACCCGAGTACAATGTGAAGACGCAGTCCTAGAGGAGCTGGACCATTATCTTGGCCAACCTGACTGCACTCTAGATGGACTAAAGGACTGGACAAGTCACAAACCTCGCAGATCAGGTCCAACCAGGCCCAGTCACAGTGCAGTAAGGTAAAGCCACATTGAGCCGCTGCCGAGATACTTATGTACTCATCATTTAAACATGCAGAACACCAGCTGGTATTTTTGTTAGAGTGGTGTGTAAGGCTCATTGTTTGTTTGTTTGTTCCTTCATGTTCTCTGTTATTAGAGATTGTGTGGTCATAACTGAAAGCCAAAAGGCAGATGGCGTCCCTGACCGCCACCGTTACGGCCGCATGAAACTCTTGCACTTCCATGATAACTATCGTCCAGCTTACTGGGGGACCTGGTGCAAAAAAAGCACTCACATCTCGCCACGCTGCCCACTGAGACTGGACAAGGTAAAAACGCAAGAATGTTCAATGAAATGCTACATTTAAGCCACCTTAAATTCTCTGCTGTTTTAAAGAGGTCATATCTCAAAAATATTGAGGGAAATTTGGTTTGTTCATGGAATTTCTCCATGATACAATCTGTGGCTATATTTGGCTACTTGTTTGCTTAAAAGTTTGGATGAGATCCAAGCAGGACAATGGCTTGGCAGTTTTGCAGCATTCAAAGAAGCTCATTGGTCAATGTCAAGGGCCTGAGGGTTCACCTCCCTGCTTCCTCTGATTTTAGGCAATTCGGAAATAAACTTTGAGTTGGTAGAACCATTAACTATGGAGGAAGTTTAGTCGTTGCACCGCTGAGAGATGTGGCTGCATGCCCCAACTCCCTCTTATGTACTTGAAGTTTAAGAATTGGCTAGTTGACAGCTTAAGATAGGAAATATTGTATGTCCATAACCTATTGTAGCCCATTTCCACCATGTAAGGGGAAAGATCATATTTTGGTAAATCAATCATAATAACTGTGAAATAAGTGCCCTTTTGTCATAATTGTGACTTGTGCCATAATTATATATATATATATATATATAACTTTTTTTTTTTTCAGATCATTAATTACGTTGTATGTTAATTTAAACTTTTTATATCAATTATGACATGATATAACTATTTACCAAAGTATTTTTTTATTTATTATTATTATGTGGAGGAAATGACCTTCCATAGTAACCTGAAGTGGTGTTAATTAGATTTTTTTTTTGGGGGCTTATCAGGAGCTGCTGGATTATGAGGTGGACAGTGATGAAGAGTGGGAGGAGGAGGAGCCGGGAGAGTCTCTATCACACAGTGAGGGGGTGAGTGATACAACATCACTATTGTTACATTTCTATAGTGACAAATTAGCCACTACAGAAGCCATGCAGATCACCAGTGAAAATTCACACCAAAATTTGAATATGGTGGAGACTTTAATCTTGCTTTTCCCTCCAGGATGACGACGATGAAGGAGGAGATGATGACGATGATGATGATGGGTTCTTTGTGCCCCACGGTTATCTGTCAGATGGGGAAGGAGCACTTGAAGACGAGGTTAGTGGAACGTCACCCTCCTTCAATCGCCTCATTCAGTCACGTCATGACACTAACAGTCTGCTCTTGCAGGAGGGTAGAGATCCGGAGAAGCAGAAGGTGCGTCAGAGGATGAAGGCTCGTGAATGGGAGACTGAGCTGATGTCTAAAGGGAGGGTGAAGGTGTTGGAGGCGGTGGTGCGTGGCTGCCTATGGGAGGGGGAACAGCCTTCGCTGGACCTCCTGAAGCCGTACGCTGTCTGTATGCTGAAGCCTTTACCTAAAGACGAGCCCTGCACCCCTGAACAGGACATCTCACGCCAACAGAGGAACGAGAAACGTGAGTACAATGTGTGCTTAACTTTTGAATACTTGGGATATATTTATACTATATTATATTAAAGTTTTCTCATCTGCTGTCCATGTTGCTTTACTAAACATTACAGTGTCTTGATTTGTTGGACTTTTTTTTTTTTTAAATCGAATCATTTATGTATTGTTAAACTGAGTCTCTACAAGCATTGTTTGTGTGAGAGATCATCACAATGCAAATGCAATCCTTGCATTTGTGTGCACACTGCATTAACAGCCACTTTCAGCGCCGTTAATACACAAAGCCAAGCCTAAAGCTCTATTCATTCTATGAGAGGTGCAGCAAAGTCATGCAAAACAACAATGAAAATTCACACCAAAAAAATGGGAGCACCCTGAATTTTCATGATCCCTTACAAGAGATGCATACCTGAACAAACACTGCCTTCAGTACCATAATACAGTTGCACATTGCTGGTTCTCCTGAGAGTGATTTAAATTATCCAGTGGTTGTTAATGTGTTTTTCACTTTTCTTCAGTGCTGTCACGGCTACTGCCTTTGCTTCATGGTAATGTGAACAGCAGTAAGGTCATAATCAACGAGTTCCTAGAGATCTGTCGCCAGCAAACATCCTCACCCACAGAAAGCTCTTCGAATTGTATTGACAGCGTCCCACCCAGGTAACCCAGCTAACTGTATCTTTTATATCAGTCATTATGCAAAAAAAAATCCATAGAGTACCACAGGGTTGGTGTAATTTTGTTGGCCAACCAGGAAATTAGCATTACCCTAGTTCCTTTGACAAAAAGCCAATAGGATTTTGGGAATATAATCTGGCTCTGTGACCAACAAAAGTTTATGGTTCTTACACGTTTTGTTCATCATGAAAATCCTTTTCAAATTAACTTAACTTTTATGATTTTTTTAGTCTTAATACAAAAAAGCTTTGAAAGAGTGTGATTTATAAACACCACAAGGCAAGTAGATGAGTTTTTTTGGCACGATGAAGATTAATGTCCCTGACTGCCTGTTGTCCCATTTAGCCACTCTTTAGTAACCGCCTTTTTCAAGACATGAACAGGCTTGACATGAACAGGCTTGACATGAACAGGCTTGAGTGGTGTAGTAATGAATAATGTGTGAAAATATCTTAAGCTTTTGTAAACCACAGACCTTATTTCAGGCATTTATCCAAAAGCCCATTCAAAACACACATTAGCTGCTTTCTCACCATCTGGCAACCAATGAGAATGGTTTGGCTTGTTGGTGGAAAAGTGGCTATTGACTTCACTATCACAAGTGCTAAAATGCTACCTTGTTTTGGGGTTTTACAACTCATTTGACTCATATAGCACTCTATTGTTATTCCTTTTGGAAAAAAATATGTATTTTAGTATGTATTTCTATGTAAACTGGATGACTCATGCCTAATGCCTGGAAACATTGTCATTGAGAATGACTTCCAGTTGCACTCTGGGGGAGTGTTTTTGGAAGTGTGTCAGAATATCAGAATATTAAGAAGTTACTTAAGTGAAGCCACACAGCTACACAACACTAATTTTTAAGGATATTGACTCTTTTTTTTTTTTCTTTTTTTGGGCAATAGGATCCACATCAGGCGTATCATAAAAGAGAACGCCGTGTACGAAAAGCGCTCCACTTACAGACGATGCTGCTGGTACGTGCATGCAGAAGTTCTGACCCGTCATTCTCAGGAGGCCTTGCGCGTTCCCTGCCAGTGGACCTACCTCACCTCCGGGGTTCATGTCAACCGCGACGAGCCCACCGGCTCACAGGGCAACTCGCCCACCATGTCCACTTCCACCACACCCTCCAACAAGAGGAAAAGTGCCAGCAGCCACTCCATCACAAAGTATATGAAGAAATGTGGCGACTCTGAACAGGTACAGACCAATTATATATACTACTGTGCAAAAGTCTTAGGCACGTTAGTATTTACACACAGAAAAAATCACACAAAAGTAGGGATGCACAATGATATCGGGACAACATCGGTATCGGCCGATAAAAGCTTAAAATGACCATCATCGGCATCGGCCGATATGAATATTTCTGCCGATGAGCCTTGCCGATAGGGTGGCGTGTTTTCTATGCACACGTGACGACCGTGAACGAAGCAACTGCAACTTAAACTTCCAACTAGGGGTGTGCGTCTCACGGTTTTTGATTGTGGACGATTAAAATGTCTCCACGATCTGCTTTTGAAGAAAAATCATAGTATCGTGCATTCTATCAGTTCAATTCTAGCGCCTTCATCTCAACATAGCCTACTGTACAACGCGACGTACATTCACATCACATCACATGTAAACACAGAGGTAGAGTTACACTCACGGGACACTGCAATTCACAAAAGTTCATTATTTGCATGTGCGTCAAAGTCCTGCTAGTTAAACATGTCATTCACGTGCTGATGCGCTGTTCTAACATCCGCTTTTCTGAGCGCGTTACACCCGATGCTCACAGGAACTAAAAGCCTGTCACAGCGCCTGCATACTGGACTAATCTTTCGAGTCTTATTGCGCTAATACTGTCAAATACACAGAAGGTTTACATAAAGTTGGTTATGTCTAAAGTGAAAGCAAACAGAGAAAATCTACTTGTCAAATGCGTGTATATTAGACGCGTCGCGTGCAGTTCTTAAAGAGACAGTAATAATATGCTGCCGCTTGTCCTTAAAGAGATACTGCACCCAGAAATAAAAAATCTGTCATTATTTACTCACTCTAATGTTGTTCCAAACCTGTATTAATTTCTTTCTTGTGCTTAAATATACTATGGAAGTCACTGGAGTACAGCAACTGTTTGGTTAGCCACATTCTTCCAAATAACTTTTATTTTCAACAGAAGAAAGAAATTTATTTGGGTTTAAAACAACTTGAGAGAGTAAATGATGACAATTAAAATTTTTGGGAGAACTATCCCTTTAATATTAATAAAACAACAAAACACAGAGGAAATCACTCAATGCTCTTGACTGAGAACTTTAATAAGCTTTTTTTGCAGTTACCGTATTTTCCGCACTATACGGCGCACCGGATTATAAGGCGCACCTTCAATGAATGACCTATTTTAGAACATTTTTCATATATAGGGCGCACCGGATTATAAGGCGCATAAGATACTGCAGTCAAACGTTTGACTGGGTTTGCGTTATGCATCCACTAGATGTCAACAAATGTCAACAAAACAGTCCGATAAAGTCAAACTTTATTAAGCGCTCTGACAACTCTGTTCACTCCCATGGTAACGTTGTTCAAACGTTAAAGGAAAACTCCGGTCAATTTTAACATTGAGCTCATTTTTTGTAAATTTGGAGTGCTGTCAGTACAGATAACAACGACAAAAACCGGTGTTGCCTACACCGTGTTATCCTCTTTTTAAAATTTGCACCCTGTTGACTTAAACGGGACAAGTTTTAAACCTGCTTTTAGCCTCTTAACAACCTTAATGTGTCATTACAAGTGCACAGCCATGTGAGTGAACACGGTGAATCTGACTGCACATACCCGTATTTTCTTCCTGTTTTCGGTCGAAGTCCACAGTAGGCGATTGTCGAGTGGGCGCGCGCGATCATTGGTAACTAAGCAACAGTGGAGACTCAGCCTGTCAGCTGTCAGCCGATGACGGTGCTGTGTGGTGTTCTGAGAATATCAGCTCAAATGGATAGTTCATCCGAATCAGATGTTGAACACACGGAGGAGGTTTGATCGCGCGCGCGAACTCGACAATCAACTACTGTGGACTTCGGCCGAAAACAGGAAGTAAATACGGGTATGTCATATGTGAGCCGGCTGAATAAAGAGATTATTCCTGCCTTCGTAAAAGCTCGGATCACAGATGAGACTGATATATCAGCCCAGGCATCCACGATCCATTGGCAGATAGTGGCGTAAGTCGCTCGGCGCTGTCTCCCCGTCTTGGTGAACGTGTGTTCACCATCCATATATAAGGCGCTCCGGATTATAAGGCGCACTGTCGGTTTTTGAGAAAATTAAAGGCTTTTAAGTGCGCCTTATAGTGCGGAAAATACGGTATACATCGGTGTATATAAAAATACAAATATATCGGTATCGACATCGAGCAAAAATAGTTTCAAAATATCGAATATCGGCCAAAATCCAATATCGTGCATCCCCACACAAAAGTATGTAAGTAGGAAATATCAGGTCACATTTCCTTAATATTAATATTAAAACCGCTTTTATCGAGGTACACTTGCACATAGTTTTTCAGGTAGCTTTGCAGGAAGGTTTCTTTAAGTGTCTTGGAGACGTTGCCACAGTTCTTATGGATTTAGTCTGTCTCAGTTTTTTCTATTTCTTCATGTAATCAGAGACAGACTCGATGGTGAGATCAGATCATACTGGCTGTTGTCAGACTCCTTGTGCATACAAAAATCTCACTGGATTATTACAATTAATGGCAAAAGCAATGTTTGGAAATGCGATCTGATATTTCCTACTGACACACTAGAGCAAAAGATAGAAATACCTGGCTTAACAATTTTTTTGGTGAAAATACTAACATGCCTAAGACTTTTGCATAGGACTGTATATATCCTATTTGTAATTAGGGCTGGGCGATATATCGAATATTAGCAATAACATCGCAATAATTTTAACGACGATGTAAAATTTGAAAATATCGTGAATGTTTCAAAATCAAGCATACTTTCCCAAAGAACGTGCCGAACGTCCAATATTACGTCCACCTTTCGTCTTGTCACGTATAATACACAAATAAAGCTGGTCGTTCATTCTCTTGCGGTGTACCATATGCAAGAAATAGTAAAAAGTGGAAAGAAATAGGGCTGCAGCTATCGATTCTTTTTGTAATCGATTAATCTAGCACTTAATCGATCGATTAATCGAGTAATCGGTTAAACATCTTTTGTGTTTTTAAACAACCAAAACAAATAATGCATAACGAAAATAGGGGTGCGCCGATCCGATATTCGGTATCGGTATTAGTCCGATACTGGCCAAAATCACTGGATCGGATATTGTATGAATCGCGGGAGTATATTCCGATCCGATACGACCACGGACCTAGTCCTAAACTGTCAAACAAATGCTTAACAACACCTGAGAGACATGCCGTAAAGAGAGATGAGCAACATGCGTCACGCTGCAGCTGCACGCAGGGTCGCCAGATTTTCACAACAAAACCCGCCCAATTGCATTTTAAAAAGTAGCCAATCGCGTTTCGGGGTGTGAGAGAGAGCGCGGACTTGGCAACACTGGCGTCACGTGAACAGTAGCTAGAACGAGTAAGGTGAGACCTGTCAGCAATTATCATGTCAGCTGTGTGGAGTTATTTAAAAAAAGTGTGCATTTTGTTTTGTGAGTCTCCGCAACGGCGATAGATTGGAGCGCGTCCGAGTGAAGATTGTGCGCGCGCCACAAGAGAACACTGTATCCGTGCAACTGATAGCAGCGGCAACGAGCGCTCAGCTTGATTTAAAAAAACAAACACATTTTAGCGCTAGGTCTAACTATGTTAATTAATGCTCTGTTAAATGGAGATGTTTTATTTATTTGTATTACATCTGTGCCTCATAATGTTTCAAAAGTGGTGGGGGGCAATATCGATCCTGAGAAAAAGTGGCTGGGACATGTCGCACCCTCAAATTACACCTATGATCCCCAGATGTTACATGTGAAAAACTTTAGAGCTTGGACTGTCTACCCAAAATGTTTTTCCCCTTTATTAGGTGTAATGGCCTAGTAGAGTTTAATTTGTGAGTGGCTTATTGTACTATTCTGTTCTATTGTACATTTTATAATGGAGATACCATTATTTTTATGGTAGGTTATACTTATTTAAGTTATGACTAGAGTTTTGTGTTACATCCAGTATTTGGCACTGGAATTATATATTTTTTTATTTGCACAGTTGGACTTTAAATTTAATTAATTGAATGGTGCTGAATAATTAAAAATGCTGCTACAAGTTCTGTTTAAAAATTATTTTAATAAAAATTAAGCAGCAGTAGATGTTGTGGGCTACGTATTTCTTCCTTTAGGGGAGTAGAACATTTATTGCACTATTTGAGCATGATGCTTTTTAGATGGCTAGGTTAATCACAGTGCATCCTCCTGACAAACGTGTTATTAACAGCTTAATTAAGAGGGAGAAAAATATGGTATGGTATTGTATCAGTATCGGTATCGGCAGATACTCAAGTTTGTGGTATCGGTATCGGACATGAAAAAGTGGTATCGAGCCACCCCTAAACGAAAATGATGTGGCTGTAAAATGATCAAGCATTTGGCTTTTATTTATAAAAAAAAATAAAAAAATAAAAACGGGTATTTATTCCAACTCAAACATTTGGCTCCAAAACTAAACCTATTTATTGCAATATTTTACCCATTTAGTATAAGTGCCAACAATGTTCTATGCTCAATTACTTTGGTAGCCGATTAAAATGTCTTCCCCAAAAGTACGATTGGATTTGGAGAAGCAGGCTGGGGAATTTCATTTTGTGTTGTTGTCTGTAACTATTTGGAAGACGTGACATACAAACAAGGTCTCGCAAAGACTGCAATACAATATTTGTTACTCCGTCACGTCGCGGTGTATACAGTGAATGCATGCTGAAATTATTGTTGCGTGGCTACATAAAAGTTTAGTGATGCTTTGCTGCAATTGATCTGACTGGCTCGTGAGAGAGACGAGGGTGCGTGCGTGTGTGTGAAGGGGTTCTTTTTTTAGGCGCTCTCTCTTGCAATTGAATGTGAATACGGTTACTACTTAAAAACATCAAAGCTAAACATCATATCTAGTCAAACCGCATCACGACATCGCTACAAATACAGTATGGGATTAAAATCAGCGAACATCAATGTATCATAGGCTTATGGTGTGTTCACACCGAACGCAAATTTAATTATTTGCGCGAGTAGATTACATAAAGTCAATGCAAAGACGCGAATAGACGCATCATTCGCGCCGGGCGTTGCGACTGACGCGAATTGGGCTACGCGTTTGCCGCGAACGTCTTCCGCGCAAGTTGAAAAATTTGAACTCGAGCGAATGTTCAAGCGTCTAACTAGACGCGATAAACGTGTATTTGACGCTCTATCCGCTTTCGGTGTGAACACACCATTAGTTTACCTTGTTCCAGCGACGCTTGGTGAAACAGCATGGAGTGGAAGTGGATGTTTTCGGTTCAGATGCTGAATCATTGAAGTTGTACTGTTGTGGTAGCCTATGCCAGGTCTACTTTGCAGTAGACACATTGCACCTTGTTCTCTTCCTTTTTAAGTATGCATAATGATCCCAAACTTTAGACATTCTCTGCCGTTTATGGACATCTTTACTCTCCGCCATTGCGCCAACTAAATTCAAAATGTATCACGCGCTATAGTATAGATCCCTGCGCGTATAGTGCGCGTCATAGGAATTTAACGAGGCTTCGAGGCAGAGTTTTTGCCTCGAGGAATTTTTGTAATCGAGTAACTCGATGAATCGTTTCAGCCCTAGAAGGAAATAACATAGGCGGTCACGTTTTACATAGCCAAAGATATGATACCTGTCAGTACCGTGGAAAAACCTGGCTTCAAACATCTGCTAAAGACAATCGACCCTCGATACAGTTTGCCTTGCCGTTAATACTTTGCCCAGGATGTGCTCCTAAAATTGTATTTTAAAGTTCGCGAACAGCTGTCACAGAAGCTTTCTCCGATAACGCACTTCCGAACCTGCGAACCCTACATCAGTCTTACCATTCATTTAATTGATGAATAAACAGACAGAGGAAATCATCGCAGAATGCACTACTTCAGTTACATGTACATGTGTTTATTTAATAAAAAGCAGCAAGTGATCACTTGGTCTAGATTTTTTTTTAACTGCTTAAATTTGCTAAACATCACTAAACATTTACTTTGTAACAACTGTATCTAAATTATTTGTGTTTTTTTAATGGGGGCAAAATAAAATCATGTTTTTTATTATTATTTTAAAGCAAATGTAAACATATCGAGATGTATATATCGAATATCGTAAAGATTTTGACTATCGAGACATCAATTTTTTTTATATATATATATTGCCCAGCCCTATTTGTAATACCTATTTAGACCTGTCTAATTTTGGTTTATTCTTTAGACTGAGGCTATGGAGACCGATGGCTTCCAGGCGGACACTGAGGATGATGAAGACGATGATTGCGTCATCATTGGGGAGCAATCTGGTTAGTATGCGTCTCTACTAAAGCTTGACAACAAAGATAAATCTGCCAGAACAAGCTTGAAAAATGTTTTCTTCTTAATAGGATCCTCGGAACAGGACGCCAACACATCCTTACCACAAACAGAGAGAAACACAGAGCCCATGGACACAAATGCATCCGAAACTGCTGCTCTTGCCTTGCCCTGCCTCACACCAGCCACCGCCTGAGATCTGACTCCTTCCTGTTGGGTTTGCATGCATGTGAACCAGGCGCTCTAAATCTGATCTACGATTCGAAGGATCACACAGTATTAAAGGTCCCCAGAATGAATCAATTTTTTCCTCTAAGTGGAGGTCTGTTAGATGGTGTACTGCTCTTCTTCATAGGTGAAGTCCCACTTTTTGAAAGGCTGATGCATTCATCAGCTCTGACACCAACCAGGAGGTTGATGCTGTCTGCTGGGCTTAGTGCTCAGCCACATTGTTTTAAATTGTTTATTTTTTCCCTCTCTGAATACTTGAACTGGTGTATGTCTTTCAAAAATAATGACAATTGAAATATATTGCACTTTTATATTCCATTTCTGTTTATTTCATTCTTCAACCCCCACCAGAAGTCTTTCACTTGTTTTCTTTTCCGAGAGGCTTTGTATAAAAACAGCATTTGCCATTTGTTGCTCAGGCTGCTATACGCGGTGTAAATACAATTTTTTTTGCTTTTTGAAGAAATGGTAGGAGGCCGTCCAACACGGAAAAATAATAAGCAGCAGCATTGGCATTTCTTTTGGCAAAGTATTTTCTTAATTGTTTCGAATAAACTGCACCATAGTTTGCAGTTGTAATGGGTTTCCTACAAAGCTTGTTTAAATAAAGCATAATTTAAAAACGAACAACTTTTAATATGCTGTTAACCAACATTTTCCTTCCACACATTTTCAAGACTTCTGCAGTCAAGCCATTTGATTTCTTTCATATACGCTCATCTCTGACAATGCATTTTATTTCATACATCACATCAAAAGCATCAGAACACAACATTTAAACTACACATTTCTGAGTGCAAAATACAAGCAGTTTTTACCATATTGGCGTGGTTTAATCAGTGAGTAGGGATGCACCGAAAATGGCATTTGTGGTTTTTGGCCGAAAGAATAAATAACCAAACATGCCGCCCAGCCCCTCCGTGTTCACCGATCAGGTTTCACTCTTGGGCTCTCCGTTCCGTGTGTGTACTGCGCACTTTTGTACAGATCATGCTCACCAGAAAAGCAGTCCACTCAAATAACGTGCCGACATGAATTTTCTCTGTAGTAGACTTGTTTCTGTTTGTAATAGCCCTATACTGTGCTGTAACATTGTGTGGTATAGCCGTTCTGGGCAACGCTGGTAAAATGATGCTACCCTCTTGTTCACTGATCCGATCTCTGCTATCTGCTCTGATAACAATAGCTTTGTAGGACTATATTATTTTGATTATTGGTCAAAAAATAAATCTGTTGAATCTGATTGTTGCATAAAACTGAATGAAGAATAATAAACTGATATTTTAATATAGGGCTATTTTCTGTCCAATTTTTTGACACTTAACTAAAGTGGATTATTTTATTGGCTTGCATTTTTTAAATTCAGATTCAGTAAAATTGCATTTAATTTAAAAGTATAATAATACAAAAAATGTATTTAAAATAGGAAAATGACATAAATTGTCGTTTTCAGCCAAGTGCATCCAGAATTTTAGGTTTTGGCCTAGAATTTTGTTTTTATTTCGGTGCATCCCTATCAGTGAGTATTATAATCTGCACTAACACCCTAATGTTTTTCGTAAGAGCTGGTGCATTTTCACCGTAATCATAAACACTGGTTTGTAGCGTAAATAGTTATCCTTTACGGTTATTCTTCTACCTGCCTATTGCGGCTTAAGAATCGGAAGTCTTGCATATTCTGTTAATAGCTTACTTCCGGGTTGAAAATGAGGGGGATTTTTGACGTGAACATCCTTTCAAAGTATATTTTATTGGATTCCGTGTGCAAACACATGCTCCACACAAGACACACTAGAAAGTTTCATCCTTGTCCAGTGTCTGCGTTATATATAGAGGTTATGAGTCATAAATATCTTAATATTCATTTAAACTACAGTTGCGCATATCTTAACCTCACACAAGCTTGTCAATTACGAAAAGAGTTTCTTTTCAACTGTGACATCATGGTCGCCAATGTCGGCACCTTGTGGACAAACTCGTTTGGGGAGCGCATAGTACACACAATTAGGAGGAAAACCATCAAACATGCTGCGTGTGTAAAAACAAGTATACTTTGGGCTTAATTATACAAGTCAATTACTTGACATGGTGACAACTGAATTGAACAGACATTTATCTCTATTAGGAGGTAGATCATTGTTGCAGACCACAGCTTTTTGTCTAATTTAAGTTACGTTAAAACATTCAGGCGTAGTCACATTTTTGTTAAGCAGGAAACAACTTCAATTCAAAACAAAAGACAATCTGAACTTGGTAGTGCTCATGTTAGATCAATTTCAAACCGTTGTCACAATGAGATTTTATGGTACGTTAATCAACATTTCTCTCTAAGCAATAGCTAAAAAGTGCTTAAGATTACAACAGAGCCACTCGCAGACCATTTCCAGTCTGACAGCATCGCAGTGTGCAAACTGAGCTTCTTCCGTTATCATATGATGACTGGTCATGTTACTTCAAGCAACAATGCATTATAATAGGACAGACTGTTTAGAAATTGGCCCTTAAGGTGCTAACACTTCCCATAATACATCACTGACAGGAAACAACTCCTGTTGTTAGCACCATATAAATCCACCTAGCACATGTTGTGGACTCAACCAATCCTGTGGAGTTGTGGACGATGGGAGAGAAAATCACTAGGAGTGGCAAGAGAACGCAGGCGGGACAGCAGTGACCAGGGAGACACAGCAAGACTATGTTCAGCTCATGCTCTTGATGTTCTCTAATAACGCTGCTTTAAGCAGAACAGCAGTCTTTCCTCCCGCGGCCGCGATGTCTGAAAGCACTGCGGCGTCCCACGAGAAAATCAACAGAGCTGCTGGGGCCTGGAAGGTGAAAACAAATGTGTGACTCAAATATTGTTTAGTAAATTCAACTTTGCAGACGGTGTTCTTTGATCTTCACCTACCAGGTTGCACTCATTCAGAGCAAACTCCTCGTCGTCCTTGAGTTTTTGTCCTCCAGGAACCACCAGCTCAAAGGGCTGCCAGCCGTTCTCCAGCGAATCACGCACAAACTGGTACAGCGCTGTCACTTTCTCCCATGCCAGGAACGTGCCTGCAGGGCGTTTAAATGCAAGTTACGCTGTACAACAAGAGCCTTCACTTGGCCAAAAGAAGCTAAATCATGTTTGCACTCTTGCATTGACAATAGACTGTTCTAATTAAGAATAACTACCAACCCTGGAGTATATTTCCATCCGGTAACCGCACTCTCAGAAGGGCGTAGTTGTACTTTCTTCTCTCTCTCTGCTCATCTTTTTCACGCATGGCTTTCGTTCGCAGCATTGCGTTTCTCTCCACGATTTCATTCCTGTGATGAAAGAAGATCATAAAAACATGGTACGAGTCTTTGTTTATCAGCTTAGCACAAACACTACTGTTGTTGATTTCTTTACTTAAGTTGCATTTCTTTCTTCAGTTCTTCTGGGGTCAGATTGTAGAAGTCTGGGGGCAACTCGAAGTTTGTGGCGTTTTGGGAGGGTCTGAAGACCTGCGGTTGGCGGTCCAGCTTCGCTCTGATTGGCTCGCCCTTCTGCAGCAGCTCCAAATCCACCTTTATCTGCTCCAGAGCGTCCGGTTCCTGTGGCGGCAACACCAGGTACTCCTCAGTCCTATCTGAGATGTGTTATTCAGGGATGGAGATGTGTGAGGGCTTGGCGTTAAAGAAATGACACGCTTGTCTTTGAAATATAATGGCATTACCTTCGCCGTCTACCGGCAGTGCGGTGCTTTCAAATCCCAGGGCCTGAAGATACTCACGAGATCCTTCAATCACACTGACCTTCTCCTTCACGAGTAAAACAACAAGATGTGAGTGAATGTGCTTCATGAATCCAGTTCTCTCTATCCTGACTGAAAACGATCATACCTGAAACACCTTGTTGCTAACTTTGATCTTCCGATACTTTTCCTCAGTCGGATTCTTACAGATGTTTTCGATGTACCTGTCATCGGATTTCAGTTGGACATTTTACAAACACACCGAGATATCGTTGTAGAAAGTTAATATAGTCCTACAACTAAACAGTCCTCACTTGCTAATGATGTCAATGGCAGCCTTCACTTTCTCTTTGTCTTTATTAAAGGTGTGAATCATCATAACGGAGGCCTCCATCACATCCTCTGAGAACCTCTGTGAAAAAAGAAGCACCTTTAGTCAAATGTAATTTCTTCAAGTCTTGCAGATTGTCTAATAGTCTCACCATAAGAATGGCTTCTTTGATGTGCATCTCTCTTTCAGTCTTTGTTAAGATTTTTCCAGTAAGAGGGCAGGTGAAGAAAACTCCCGCCACTGAGAAACAAGACGGATCCTTCTGTGGAACCCCGGAGGCCTGGAAAAGGTATTAGTGATCACGGTCAGGAAAAGAGTATTGAATCTTAAAGGGACAGGTCACCTAAAAATGACAATTCTGTCATCACTTATACTACACAAAAAGTACTAACTGCAACAATTTTACAAATGATCACTTTAAATGAATTTACATGAGATTTAAAGGTCCACTAAATAAATTTTTGCCGCTTTTTACAAGTTTTACTCACAGATATAAAAATAAATATATATTTTGACCAATGTGTTGAAAATGTGTTCCCACAAAAATGTTTATTCTACATACTGTTTAGATCACATGACCAAATACTATTAACATAGAGAGTAGTAGGTCATCTGGATATTTTTCAAAACCCAATAAAACCATCGGACTTGCCTCGACATCTGTGTTGTTCTGACTGGCCGCTACGGCAGCCGCCTCTGCTTCAAGTTCTCGCTTCACTGAAATGCAATAATAAAATGAGTGGCTGTTCATGCTTTGAGATTTATTAATGTTTTTAAGATGTCTATGGAAGCTTGTTTCCACCATGGAATACAATATAAAAAAGTAATTGCAACTTTTTAGCTTACAATTCAGACTTATAACTCAAAACTAACTTCAGCTGTTTATATCTTACAATTCTGAGAAAAAGATGTAGGTGCTACATATGAACTTGAATTTACTTTGCGACTGTTAAAAAAGTATGTTCTATGTAGTATAAATGTGTGTAGTATGAATAAAATTTGGACGTACTACATATACGCCATGTTGTTATTGTCACGTGAGCTACCAGCATCAGTTGCGTCGCTTCACTGCCATTCATAAATCCTCTCCCGTGGCCTCATGGGATAGTAAAGTGTCCATCGCATGCACACTTCAGAATCCCGCCGGAAGTAGTAGGCCATCCAGGTACTTCTTCCCTACTGTTTTTCGAATACTATGAATCCAGACATAAGGTGCATCCCAATTTGCGTACTTATGCACTATTCTATGACGTTTTATAGTATGAATATTGTGGAGCTTTCAGACTTCGATATTGAATGACAAATAAATAACGTTATAAAGTTCATACACTACACAAATGAGTACATAGTGCACAAGTACATTGAGTATAAGTGTATAGTGCGCCATTTGGGATGCAACTATACTACTCTTTTAGTGTACTGTTTTTCGCATACTTTATAGTATATGGATTTTGGATGCAGCGATAAACAATTCTGACTTTCTTGCAATTTCAAGTTTATAATGCGCAAATGCGCTTTTTTCTCATAATTGTGAGGTATTATAACTCTGAATTAAAAAAAAGAATTTACTAGCAAGACTTTTTTCAGAATAAAATACAGAATTGTGAGTGTATAGATCACAATTCAGCCTTTATAATTCTGAGTACGACAGTGCGAGTTTATATATCGCAATTCTGACTGATAATTGGGAAATATAAACTGGGAATTTAGGAGTGTCTGCTCATGGCTGGAGTGTGAAGTCCAGCTCCCCCTCTCCAGGGTTGTGTCCGAAATCAGCCCCCATACCCAGCCATTTGTAGTGGTGTCCGAAACCATAGTGGACGTTATCGAGTGCACTCATTCAATCCCACAATGCACCGCAATAACGAGTGTACAACCGATGTACGCTCAATGGCTAGAGAACACCCATAATGCACTGTGAGAGTCTTGAACTGAATGAATTCCCGCGTCTGACCAGAAGATGGCGCCTACAGCTGAATCATGCATCCATTTTTCAAACCTCTGGTCGAATGTGGGTATAGCGCAACATCATACAGGTATGAATTCCTTTTTAATTGATTATTAAAGGAGAACTCCGGCGCAAAATGAACCTTTGGTCTAATTACACATTGTTACCTAGTCAACCGTTATCTGAGATTTGTTTTCATGATTATCGAATGTAAATAGTTTTATCTCTAAAAACAGTTTAGCCTATGAAGCTAGTATAACGCTAGTATATTGGGCATAGTGTAATGACAAATAAAAATCAATTGTTAATACCACTAACAAGGCTCAAAATAGCCCCACACTAGCACGGTAGCATAATGAGGGTCCCTACCTTCAAACCGAAGCATTGCGAACTTTGAAAAACAGTCTTTACCAGTCGATCTACGAACACCGATTAAAGACTGTATTTCAAAGATGGCTCCTGTCTGTATACGCGAAGTTGACTGTATGTTTAAAATATCTTCTTATTAAACTGTCTGGACACTGACAAAGTTCTCAATGCTTCGGTTTGAAGGTAGGGACCCTCATTTTGCTACCGTGTTAGTGTGGGGCTATTTTGAGCCTTGTTAGTGGTATTAACAAGCGATTTTTATTTGTCATTACACTATGCCCAATATACTAGCGTTATACTAGCTTTATAGGCTAAACTGTTTTTAGAGATAAAACTATTTACATTCGATAATCATGAAAACAAATCTCAGATAACGGTTGACTAGGTAACAATGTGTAATTAGACCAAAGGTTCATTTTGCGCCGGAGTTCTCCTTTAAATTGTTTAATCAAAAACAAACTATGCAAAAGCGGCAGCCCTTCCGGCGCACTCAGGGTCCGAATTCACACATTAGTTTTCATTCACTACCTCAAGTGAACTATATTAGTGGAGTATTGTAGGGAATAGTTAAAGTCCCCGTGAACCGGAAGTTACAAACGACTTTTCTCCAGTGTTGTGACGTATTTCCGAGAGAAACGGAATACTAAATGAGGCAAAATAGTGGGCGTGGCTTTTCCCCCAACTAGCACCTGATTGGATCTAGAAAAGTAGGTGTTTTCATTCAGCCTGTCTACTGTCAGTTGGAGGGGCGTGGTTACGGATGTTAAGCAGACACCCAAACCGTCAAACCCACGTCATCAGGGAAGGTCCTCCAATGCAGAGGGGAGGGGAAATTTCAGATTTTTATTATTTTGATTAAAGATTACGAAGCCAAAAAAATTTTTTGTGTGGATTGACTTACATGGATGAATTGTTCACCACAAAACGATCAATTTAGGCAAACAAAGTAAGTATGGTCAATTTTCAATTCATGGGGACTTTAATGAGGGTATAGGGGGCGATTTTGAACACAGCCTAGATGTAATTTTGGCATAATGGGTGTAGGTAGAAGGTCCAACCACACCCTAACCCTATCCCTCCACCCATTAGATCCAAGAGGTGGAGCTGGACTAGGTCAAGCTCAGCCCATGACGTCCAGAAAGGGGGAGCTGGACGTCATTTGGCTCTGCAAGAAGCACCACTTGGAATTTAGAGAAAAAAGCCAGAATTGTGAGATATAAACTGGGAAAAGCGAGGAGGAAAGACAGTTGTGAGATATACAACTCTGGGAACTCAACTCGAGGAGGAGAAAATCAGAATTGACCGATAAAAAGTCGCAATTTCCCTTTTTATTCCGTGGCGGACAAAAAGCTTTCATAGACTTCTGAGTGGAAAAGCTGTAGTTATACACTTGATGTACCCTGATTCCTTATGGCGTCCTGTGAGGTTTGCACTTTCGGCCGGTGCTGCTGCTCGATGCGGGCGAGGGCTGCGGCCCCTGCCATCTGTGCGCCTTTATTGGGAGCTTTCCTGGACGCTCCTTTACTGTGAGCAGCCTGCGAGGCTTCAGGTCGAGAGCTGCACGAAACACCAGGTGTCACCCACTCATTTCTGTGGTTAAAACGGTTGTTGTGGCCAAAAACAATCACTAAAGCAGCAGTGTAAATCACTCCCACGTGACCTTTACTAAGCCTGTAACCCTATGAGTAATTATAGCGATAAGGTTAAACTCATCATAGGTCGGATCCAAAACTATTCAAACATTGATGCATTTAGCACACTGTTTCCTGACCTACCATATCCAGATATGATCATGTTAGAAATGCAGTCAGACAGGTACAAATCCATACATATTTCTGTTATACATTACTATAGATTTTGTGTAAAAATTAGCTTGCTCTTTACAGAATTATGTTGTAACAATTATTATCTAATAATAAACCTTGTTATTCGATACATCATCGTAGTCTGATTATATAAACTCATGATAAGTGTGGTTCAGAGCTTTTTGTGATGACAGATATAATATATACTTTTACCTCGAGTCTTCTGTGAGTTTCTTTCCTGGCCCAGCTGACTTGAACTTTATATCCTTCTTGATGTCCTCGAAAAACTTCTTCATTCTTAGCGATAAACTATATGCAAAAATACTGAAATGAAAAATGTGTTGTTTTTAATTATTTATAACTGTAAGGCACACCACCACCCAGAGCGATGTGTTTACAACGGGAATAGGACCTTTTCTGAACCGGAAATGTGGTCACGAAGCAATCGGGACATAAACATTGCGTTTTAGTGACATCAAGTGGAGGGGAGTGAAGTTACATTGAAGTAGATCATTGTTTATTTATTTATTTTAAACACATTTAGTTTGTTTTCTATTTTTATTTTTAGATATAGACCAGTTTTTTGAGTGCATTTACCCCGCCTTGAAATGTGAAATATAATTCTAAAGTCTTTGAAACAAACCTTTTGCAAGAAATAAATAATATTTTCTCTTGAGAAATATTCCATAAGATTTTCTATATTTGACAACCAACTGCAAGGGTGAGTATATGCGATAAGATTTTTTTTAAAATAATAATAATATATGCGATAAGATAAGAATTTCTTTGTATATGTGCTATAGGAATTTTTAAAAACTTTTTTCCCAAATATTTCTTCCTCAAAACTCCTCAAATTGTTTTGTTTTTTACGATTATCATTCTTATTTTTAGTAGATGAAATATAGTAGTAATTCATTAAAGTGAATTGAGTAAATATTTTTTTAGATGCAAATACATAAATAAAAGTGCCATTACATTACATTGAATGCATTTTATATAGATGTTGTAATCAAGAAACTATAACATTATTTTATTTAGCTCCCAATTTAATTTTCAACAGTCGTTTTATAATCAGCAGTGCGAATGTTAATATAATACTATTACATTGAAGTCTTTAGCGGTGTACACATTGTACATTCTTATTGGTGGACGTAAAGAGTGCCAGTCCGTTCCTCCAATCAGCGATGGCCAGAGGGCGGAACTTCCGCTGGCAAAAAAAATGGAATGAGCGGAAACCGCTGCAGAAACCAACCGCCTTTCCTCACCTACTGTATCTGAGCCAGGACTGTCTGTCGGCCTGAAAAACGGACCGTGGGCGAACACAAACAAGCAGAACGAGGAGCGGTGCATAGAGGGACGACAAGATGCCGCACAACTTCCGGCCCGGGGATCTTGTCTTTGCTAAAATGAAGGGATATCCCCACTGGCCGGCCCGGGTAAGAGGAGCGGGGGAGCTCGCGCAAGGCTCGCGCTGCATCCAGTGCACACACCCCCCCACCAGCTTAACCTCAGTGCCTGGTCGTTTACGAAATATATGTTTGCAGACAAACCCGTGCTATCTATTATTCTAAAGTCTAGGCATCTTAATAGATGTATTTGTTTCATATTTATTACCTTATTTATGAATGTATGAGGCTAGCTGGCTGGCTAACTTGTTTGCTGGAGAAGCAGCTAAGGTCGCGTGAACAAAGTCCTGTTTATTTTTTGCATATTATTATTTGGGAATCGTCTTTAGATGCATAATGGAATAATATGAATAATTACTTCATTTAGACTTTAGACTTTTACATTGTATTTACATTGCCCAATCACATGTAAAATTTAATTTGGGGGGGTGGGGGGGTTGAGTGTCCTGTTTACCTATGGACATTCTTTCCTGTCCATATTTAAAGTGACCCACCCGGTGCAAAATAGAAAACCCATTTATAAATTAGTGTTTAATTCTGTAGAACTTCAATTTTCAATGTAGATCTATTGCTGAAAAAAACACGTGATCACCTTATTGTAATATTTGGACTGTATTTTCTTCCAGATTGAAGATGTTGCGGAAGGAGCTGTCAAACCACCTCCTAATAAGATCCCCATTTTTTTCTTCGGGACTCACGAAACGTACGTATCCCCGGATTTCAATGAGTACCTGGTCGTTAATTATGGTAAATAGAGGTGCCTAATCTTGTTCCTGGACATCTGCAAAGTTCAGCTCCAACCCTGATCAAACACAACTGAACCAGCTGATTAAGATATTCAGGATCTTCTTGATAATTACATGCAGGTGTGTTGGATCAGTGTTGAATCTGATCTCCAGGAACAGGATTGGGTACCCGTGGTTTAGATCTTCTTATGAGCTGTGTGCATTACCTCATTGTTTTCTCTTTTTTCCTTTTATTAATGTTGATTGATAATTGCAGCGCTTTTAAAAAGTATGGTGGGACCTTGTCTGTCAAAACTGCCTTGAAGTAACAAATTTAAATTCATCTGACCCCACAAGTCAACAGGTGGCACTAGAAGAACTTTTTTTTAGATGTCACTCCAGGGATCAGACCTCATCTGGTTTCCTTTTATATATTAAAGTTGGCATGAAATGAAAATACTGACTATTGTATAAATGCACATCTGCGTCCCACCCTACATATTTGTTTTTCCGAAAATCTGTCACACTCGGATGTACATCACAATACAAAAGAAGAGACTTTTCATTGTGACTTTAAATGTATTTATAATTCTGATTTTAGCTGCTTATTATTTTCTTTCAGAGCATTCCTTGCACCTAAGGACCTTTTTGAGTATGACAAGAACCAAGACCGATATGGGAAGCCCAACAAAAGGAAAGGGTTCAATGAAGGCTTGTGGGAAATCCAAAACAACCCTCATGCCTCCTATACCACACCTGCAGTAAGACTTAATTTCTACAGCCAAAATCTGTTGTTTCATGACACCAAATGCTGATTTGTCACATTTTCCTTGTGTTTGTTTAGGCTGCATCATCATCGGAAAGCGAAGACAACCAACCTGCTGCGGGAAGTGATGCAGAAGATGAAGAGGAAGCAGTGGTACCAAGGAAAGCTGAAACGGGAAGTGATGATTCTGACTCTGGGAGTGAGGATCAAAGGAAGGCGGCAGTGAAGCGGAAAGCTCCTGCTGCAAAGGTATTCAAACATAAAACAAGCCAACGTGATCACTTATTGTGTAAATCAGCAGTTTATCCTCATTGTCATCTATTCTGTCAATGTTTTTTCTCCTGTAGTGTTATGCATTAGAGCCCGACCGATATATCGGCGGGCCGATATTATCGGCCGATTTTAGGCATTTTCCTAACTATCGGTATCGGCATTTATAATGGCCGATAAATGAATATTTAAAAAAATGCGGTGCGGTGATTCATGTAAGGGTGGCGCTGCCAATAAAGCACCTAAAAGCTGTCACAAGAACTGGCAAAAGTAATGATTATGAATACAACAAATATAGCAAGGAGACATTTTAATTGTTTATTAATAAACAAGTGTTTTCAGTCAGTGTCAGCCAAAGATGAAGTTGACGATGCTGACTCGCGATCTTCAGTGAACGCGTGCCAGAGAGAAATGCACATTTCATACGATTACATGAGTCTGTCTGTCTTTCGTTTTGAATTGTTCTGTTTAAAAGTAGACATTTCAATATAGATATATTTTAATTCTCAGGTCTATACGCTAAGTTTCGGTTCATGAGACGAGCTCCAGTGCACCCGCAGGCGCCTCCGTGTCGAGATTATCTATTGTCTGCTAGCTATATTTACTTCTTATAAATTAAATCCAGGCAAATGGTTGATGAAACATTGATTAAAATTAAGATACAATTAATACAAAACGAAATTCACTTTGAAACAAAAGGTTTTGTGCTTTCTGTTTGATGTCTATGTGAAAGTTTCAAACGCCTATTTTAGTGCCGCTTTCAGAGCGCTCACGTCCGTAGTGCTGAACTGTCGCGTCTGTAACATTGTTTTTTTCCTCATAAATGCGAACACGAAAAATAAAATAAAATGAATATGTTATGTAGCCTGTGGAGACTGAGAGCCAACCCTTCTTCATCCGGTGGGTAGTAGCCTACTTGTGATTTGCGCGGTGTAATTCACAGAATTGATTTCTCTGCTACAGCCTCTGTCACGTATTGTGTGAGCTTGTGACTATTGCAAAGCGCGCAGCTGAGAAGTCCTGATTATATTGTCTGCTATATTTAGGCCTACTTCTTATTTATTAAGGCAATTGGTTGATTTTAATCAATGAAACTTTGATTAAAATGCGTGGCGCGAGCGATCTCCAAAAGTAAACTGATTCTGCTTTGTCTAGGGTAAACAACTGTTGCGACGCGAGCAGTAACGGCCGCGTCCGGTGTAGACACCGTGTTAAAGCTCATTCTGCCTGATAACGCTACGTTACAACATCAAGCAATATTCCAAAAATGTATATAATTATAACACTTTATATAGGGCCATTTTGCATTAAGAGTAGGCCTAGCCTAGTTTCACGTTTAGTACATTTTGCTTACTAATTATTTAAAATAGTATAAAAGTACTGTACATAGGCTATGTAATTAAAAACGTTTTTATTATGATATTATTAATTTTACTGTAGTAAAAAGATCTGAGTTCTTCCTCCACTGGTAGAGATTAGAGGAATTAAGAGTAAAAATAGAGGATAATAAGGTTTTGTCAGTGACACTTTTTATATATTTATTGATACAAGTTATGACTAAATTAAAAGACAAAGTCGTTAGTGAAGATTATGCAACAGGATTTAGAATATAATATAATATAACATGCAATGCAAACTAGTTTGGTTACAGCTCAGCTGTATAATTCTCATTCTATCATTCCCCCTGCCTCCATTACATATCTGTGTCACACAAATGTTTGATCACCACATTTGAGTGATCATTGTGTTTATAAAATATATTTATTCTGTTTATAGCTACTGTGTAAAGTACCCATCAAAAGTTTGTACACACCAATAGGAAAGTGTCCAAACTTTTGACTGGTATACTGTACTATAATACACATAAATAATATTGCTACTGTATTATAATATACACATAAATAATATCGGCCGATATATCGGTATCGGGCTCTTTTTACTCCCTAAAATCGGTATCGGCATCGGCCCCCAAAAATCCATATCGGTCGGGCTCTATTATGCATTATACCTTCAGGTGCTTTGAATTTCTCCTTAATGTCATAGTATTAGTTAGTCACAATGTTTATAATGTTAAATAGAAGTGTTTGTAGAGGAATCTGTGTTTTGCAACTAGTTTTTATTTAACCATTAGGGTCTTTCTATGTTATGAATGTTGTCATGGCTAAAGCCCAAAGTATACATATTTTACATTTACGCTAGGGTTTGCATACAGTGCTTGTGGCATAATTTCGTCATCAGCATTGTACGCACATACTGCAGGCGTGCTGCGTGTTTTTTAACCGCTCGTGCTATGTCCGCGCTAATTAGTTTGTCCACAAAGGGGTGACACTGGCTCGGCCTGTTGTTTTCGTAAACGAGACGGATGAAATTGAACAACAACAAAAAACTGCTGGAGACACAACAACAATAGACACGCACATTGTGTGAAGGGGTTAATAAATACATGCAACTCTAGTTTAAGGGCTTATTTACACCTGGTCACTTCATAAGTTTTCACTGATCAGATAGCTGTCGGATTGTGAAAAGACCAGGGCTGCGTTTCCCAAAAGCATCGTAAGCCCAAGTTGATCGTAGAACAATTGCCACCGATGGTCTCTATGATTAACTTAAGGCCATTGCACACTGAGTCCGAAATTTTCGTATGCGTTTTTTCGTGTTTGTCAGCCTAAAAATTCGTCACGCACAGAAACCTTGCACACTGAGTCCGATGCGTATTTATTAATCCTTTGCGGAAAAAAACGCACAAAAATACAAAATGGATTCGTCAAGCAGTAAGGATGATTTTGTTTGCCTCTTATTGAAATGAGAACAAAGAGAAAATTTTGGGTCCATCCAATCCTGAAATTGCGCCGAGAGGAAGGAGAGTTACACTTCCTTATCAAGGAGTTGCGAATTTATCCCGAGCGATCCAAATTTACTTCAGAATGTCAGTGGTACAGTTTGATGCTTTGCTAGCGATTCTGGAGCCACATAATAAAAAGAAGACCACCAATTTCTGTGAACCAATCGATCCTGAACAGAGACTAGCAGTATGTCTAAGCAGGTATGGACACACACACACACACACAGGCACATGCGTGGCCCGGTGCAAGCAGACAGAACAGCTGTATAGGCTACAGGTTATATGCCTATATTGTACCCAAATAATACATTTTTTATGACGGACGAAAGTTTCGGAGGCGGTGTGCAAGCGTGATTGACATAACTTGAGGTAGATTTTTTTTTTTTACGTGCGAAAATTTTGGATGCGAATTTCGGACTCAGTGTGCAATGGCCTTTAGTCTAACGATTCTTTTGGGAAATGCAGCCCAGGTGTAAATGCCCTCCGAAATGCTTTCAAGATCTGTTCACTCAAACCAGTAGTGCTGTCATATCTGATTATAACATGTTATTCTTTTTTTTTTTTACCATTTTGAGAGGAGTAAAAAACACATATGTGGCTCCAACAACCAGATGCATTTACACTTGTGCAGTTTTGTCTGGAATGAGTCTCAGACCACCTCCTGAAGTGGTTTGAATGCATCACGCATTCGCCACTGAGGAGTAGTCGGGAATCTCTTAAGAAACGCAAACAAAAGACCGGAAATGAAACCACATCCTGAAGCTCAACACACAATAATCTTCATTAAAAGTAGTGAGACTAAATTATCTTACTAGTGCTTTGACCTTGAATAAATGAAATGCAGCTCATAACTGTTGCTTTCATTGATGTGAACTTCGTTGAATTTGCATGTAGGCACATTTATGTGGTCAAATGTAAATGGAACAGTTTTAACATGTATATCTATCCGATCAGTAAAAACGCATGAATGACCTGGTGTAAACAAGAGTGCAAAGACATTTATCACTAATACCTTTTGAAGAAAAATAGCACAGACACTGGACAAGGTTGAAACCTTTTAATGCGTGTATTTCAAACGCCTGTGTTCATGCACGCTAACAAACGGAGTATTCTTTGAAAGGCCGTGTATTTGGCTGTGTTCACATCAAAACTGAAGTGTACTTTGGGCTTTAAGGATGTAGTTGGGCAAAACATCCAATGGAGTACCTGCTTTATACTTAGAGTAAAACTCAAATGAACTACTTTTATGGTGCTTTTGTGTCTGTTTTGATGTTTTGTGTCTCAATACGTTGTAATTGCATGGACAATATGTATATAAAACAGTTAAATTGATTTTTGACTTTTAATTGACTTTGCAGCGGCCACCAGTGAAGAGAACACGGGCATCATCCAGTGATCGAGATGGAGAGGAGAGTGGATCTCCCTCAGAACCGGAACCATCACCCAGCTCTGACTCTGAATCCGGCAAAAACAGCGACCAGGTATTCTTGTCTGGAATTGTACTGGGTCGATAGTTTGCTAAAACACCTCATGGCTTCATTATTGCCAAAAATGCTATTAAAATTGTATTAATAAGTTACTAATGTGTTCTCCAGGACTTCACACCGCAGAAGGATTCGGGCGGTCGAGGTGGCAAAAAGCCAGCTGGCAGAGGCAGGAGGAAGGTGAGAAGACCTCAGTGACATTGGCAGTCTATAATTACATGCTTGCTTGATGTTATACTGTTTTTGTATCATCTTAGAAGGCATCATCAGGCTCTGATTCAGACTCTGGCTCCCAGTCAGATCAGAAAGCTGCCAAGAGCGAATCAGAAGACGATAAGCCACGGCCAGCCGTCTCTGGATCCGATTCGCAGTCTGGATCCAAATCCGATTCCGATTCAGAACCTCCTCCTGCAAGGAAAGGCCCTCAAGGGCGCAAGAAAGGTGAGAACGCTTTGCAACGTGAACCCAGCATATATTATAATTAGTTTTAATGGTTGAGTAATTGCGTTGAATAGCAAGTGGATGGAAACATTACCTGAGACGGTTATCCTCAGTACTCGAATATCAGGAATCCTAGACGAGTACATCAGAATACTAAAGGACACTTTTCTTTTTGCGTCATTTTCCAAGCGGAGAAACCTCCACCAAAGCCACGTGGAAGGAAAGCCAAAGCAGCTCCAGAAAGGCCTCCTTCCTCTTCATCAGATAGTGATAGGTGAGTTTGGTTTCTTTTACTTTCTAGCATTTTTTACATGTACATTTACACTAATAATGTTAATACTTTTGTTTTGCCTTAAAATTTGTTCAATATGACAATTTTCCACCCTCTTTTGGACCCTTAATGCCTGATCACGCTAACATGAAAGTTCAACGTAAAAATTCAGACCAATGCAAAAAAAAAAATTGGTAGATGGGCTACCTAGATATGCAACCTAGATTTAGATATGCAAAATCACTTTCTGACAGTTGGTGGCACTTGCAGAAAAGCAAAAATGTGTTTTGTTTTTTATACAAAACCAAATATAAGTTAACAGAGACAAAAGCCGGTTTCAGATTGTTCCTCTGCTATTCACTGTTGCTTAGCAAAATGGTGTGTTCATGAGCGCCACCTAGTCGTAGTTTGTTACAGCAGTGGTATGTGATCAAAAGTGTAAATCTAATTGGTTGGACAATTTTTTTCACAATGCGTGGAAAAAGAGATGAAAAAAAATGACTACATAAGTAGTGTAACAGATTTCCCATAAGACTACATAATGTCATGTGACATCAAAAAGTTTCAAAACTACAAAACAAGCTGTTTTTGCAACTTAATTGCAATAAATTAATCATTTTAAATATGAAAAATTAGTAGAAACATCATCAGACTAATATGTCCGATTTTAATATATCGTCAAATACTATTCCCATGATATACAAAGAACATTAAAATATTCTATGAATTTGAGCAACACATGGATGGTTATTTGAGTTTGTCTATGTTTTTTTTTTTATGCAAAGCGATAGCGGGACGGACCGCGTCAGTGAGTGGAAAAAGAGAGATGAGGAGCGGCGGAAGGAACTGGAGGAGCGAAGGAAGAGGGAGGAGGCAGAAGAGCTCCGTCGGCTCCGGGAGCGAGAAAAAGAGGAGGAAGAAAAAAGGAAAAAAGAGAAAGAGACCAAGGCCAGGAAAGGAAGCAGCAGCAGTAGCAGCAGCAGCAGCTCGGATGAGGACGTGGATGATCACCCTCTCAAAAAATCCAAGAAACCTCCCCCTGCCCCCATCCCTGCTCCATCAGACTCCGACTCTCCACCTCCCTCAGAGGTCAGTCACCAGAACTTTCTCAACTTTCTACTAGTGTCGTTTCTCCAAATGTTAACTGCGTTTGGGTTGTTGCGTTTCTTCTCTAGGTAAAAAAATCGGCCAAGCGTCAAGATAGCCAGAAAGGGCGGCAAAAGAAAGAGAAGGAGGTGAAAGAGAAAAAGGAGAGACATATCAAAGAAAAGAAGCCACAGAGATCAGAGGAGAAACACAAAGCGAGGTATGTATTCGGATTGCACTGTTCGTAAAGCAACATGCTAACAAAACTATTGGAATCAATTGAGTCGAATCAACTGTGCATCTCGCAGTGCTATTTGCAGTATTTTCCACGACTGTTATTTTAGTATTATTTGTATTCTATTATTTTTATATTTAGTTTTCATTTTGATTTGGCGTGCGTGTGTCATTTGTATATATATATATATATTTTTTTTTATCTTTAATTGATTTTTAGGGTTTCAAGGCATAGGTGTATAGCGTTGGAATCCTTGGCTCTTAGGTTTCTGGCCCGATCGGGACCAAACCAGTGCAGCAAGATTCTCTGGAGTCTGGTTGTCAATAAAGGCTGATTTATACTTCTGCGTCGGACCTACGCCGGAGCCTCTATGCTGTAGACTACGCGTTGGTTTTAATTTATACTTCTGCGTCGTTGTCCGCGTCGATGCACGCAGAGGGAACATGTGAAACCCGAGGGAGCGGTTCTAGCACACCAATCACAGCGCTTGCGTCCGCGTAGAATTGACGCGTTGTTACATTTTTGCACGTCGGGGTACGCCGAAGGGTACGCGCGCTACACACAGCCTACGACGTAGCTACGGCGGGAGGTCGACGCAGAAGTATAAATTGGGCGTAATCATCACAAAAAAGTTTAAATTTCTATTTATTCACTCTCAAACGTCAAAACGTTCAAAGTGGGAGGAGCCACTTTTACTAAAATGGCTATTACTCGTGTACGGAATGAGATATTTTCACCAAATTTTGCACAACTTTGTAAGAGCTCATTCTGTGGTTGTGTGAAAAAGCATGTGACGACTGGCCACTTGGTGGCGCTATAACATAAACATAAATATGGATATAACTAGTGTTGTCACGGTACCAAAATTTCAGTATTCGGTACCAATACCAGTGAAAATCCACGGTTCTCGGTACCAATTTCGGTACCAAAGCTTAATTTAGATAAAATTTACATATATTAAAGTGTATATCACAGTTACAAAGATGGAAACTGTAGTATTAAACACTTTACAATAAGATTCTATTTGTTAGATAACATTAGATAAAATGACCTAACAATAAACCATAGTTATATACATAGCAATTATTGTCCTTGGGGTTAATTTAAAAATATACTAATACATTTTTAAAATCAAAAGTTTTATCTGTTAACATTATTTAATGCACAATGAATGAAGTGAACAAACATGAACAATCAAGTGTTTGTATTAAATAACATTCACAAACATTAATTATTGTTGTAAAAATATATTGTTCACTCAATGTGTTGATGTTAACACATTAAGTAATGTTAATGAATATCTTATTGTAGTGTTACCAAACTATACAGGAGATAAAACATGTTTTATTAACTGTAGCCTACTTTTATTTAATCCAAAACTGCCAAAAATGTCACTCTTGCCTGTCTTCAAAACTTGAGAACGCTGTAGCTGATTTCTAATGCAAGGGCTAGAAATCAATTAATTCTTTGCTGATACTCCTTCGTCATCACGGAGAGCGCAGTTTGCACCGCTTTCTCCTTCTCTCCACAAGCGCTCGCGCTCGCTCTCGCGTGTCTCCGCTATGCAACCATAAACAGTGACGCGCCTGGAAAAACAAGCTCGCACGTCGCTTCTATTATGAGCGAGCTTCCCGCGCGCCTACATTTGAAATTTGCACGCGCAAAAAACGTGCTATGTGAAAGTGTGAACGGCCCTTAATGGCAACGTGACATTAGCCTAATTCAACATATTTCCCTATGTGGCTCTTTCCTCCTTTCTTGTCAACAAGTGGATTCAGAGCCAACGCATTAGCAGCGCCGCCGGTCGCCATGTCTCAGTGTTTTTATGAAGAGGACGCAACTCTGCACCTTTCGGACAGCGCATCAAGAACCGGATTAACCCGGTACTCGGTACCTAGAAAAGCTGGTACCGTAACCGTTAATTTTTTTTAGTACCGACTTGGTACCGAAGTACCGAGTTTTTTGACAACACTAGATATAACCATGCAACCCTAAAGGCCTAAATCGCCGCGCGTTATTCGTCAGCGTTTTTCAGCGCGTTTTTTGTTCACACCCAAGCGATTTTCGCTGACGTTGAGCCGAGTGAACATGCAAATTCATTCCCTGACATTAGATGGCGGAATGGCGCTTAATGTAAAACAGAAATAGTCCTATTTTGTAGTCGCTGTCGCGTTTGTCATATAGTTCTTTATGTTCCGACACCAACGAGACCAGCAGCTCTACATTCATCTTGTCTCGCATCTTCCTCGTCTCATTTCTTCTCGGCAGTGTAGACCATAGATATCCATAATAAAGGCCATTGGCCAGCAGCGCGGACGAGACATCTAGCCTTTATTATGGATATCTATGGTGTGTAGACGCTACTTGGCGCATCTTCTTCGCCGTTACGTATGTGTGCTCGGCACGACCGTTTTGTGTTTGAGCGCCCCCAAGTTGTGTTTTACTGTAACTTCAGAAGCTCCAGACACGTGAGCAAAAGCGCCAATCTCATTGGTCGGATAGTTTTTGACGCCGTGCATCAAACCCAAAAAAAGAACCCGAGGCGTTTTTTAAAAAATGACGCTTTTACGCGTGGCGTTTTTCGCGTCGGTGTGCACACTCACATAGGCGTCCTTTGTTTAGTCACGAGGCGTGAAACGTCGGCGAATAACGCGCGAGAAATTCGTCCCGGTGTGAACAGGCCTTAAGTCTGATTGACTTGAACATTGGCATGCGGTGTCATCGTCCAAGGTGCCAAGAATGCCAATGAAGTTTGAAGAGCTTTCAGACAAGGTTAACGGAGGCTGATAGAAGGCCCTAGAGGCCTGTGAGAAATTCAAAAGAAAGCGGCCACCGGGGGGCACCTTCGTATTTTTCACGTGCTTAAAGGATTGTTTACCACGTGATGTTTGGCACACGCCCACGTCATTCATACCGCATGGTAGAACTCCTCATTCTGAGCAACTTTGCCTCTTGGACTGCCGCTGTCAATCGAATCATTCGTTAAATATTGGAGATTATTTCAAAAAACAACTTTTGCAACTCACTAGGTCAATAATTATTACTGTTTCCCACTAGGTCTAAGCCCGAGAAGCCAAAACGGAAGTCGGTGCGTCAACCTGAGAAGAAAGTTGAGAAGAAAAAAGGTCACATGAAACGTTCTCATGGCGGTTCAGTCCTTTTTTTAATAATTTTTATGGTCAATCAGACTTAGACTAAGTATCGTTTCTATCGCCCTGTATAAATTCAGAACCCTCACCTGAAGAGAAACTACAGAAGCTCCACACAGACATCAAGTTTGCACTGAAGGTTGACAACCCAGTAAGTAGTGATGTCATCAAAATTACCTTTTGAATTTCATCGGGATCAGTAATCACTTTCACACATGAAAGCCATTAAAATTACTGGAAACATTACACTGGCAATTTTACAGCAAATGTACCATGTCTAGTATTCACACAAGCAATGTTTCTGGTTGAGCACGCTCTTTTAGGATGTCCAATCAGTTGATTCAAACGCTTCTTTTACTTCATTCTGTTCATTTAAATCACTCCACAGAAGTCCCTGCACACTTTATTTTTATTTGTAGTAAAACAAATATTTTGATTTAGCTGTTTATTACTGTTATTTTTGTACAGGAATTTATTTATTTTTCAATGTTTATTTTTTAAAGATATTACAGTTTCAAATAGTTTCGATCTATTTGAGTTGATTAGATATAGATTTAAAAAAAAATTATTTCAGTTTTAGTTTATTAATTCACAGTTAGTAATTTTAGTGCTTCGACTTCAACTTATTTCAGTTAGTTGCCAATGCAACATTTCTAGTTTTTTGTATGATATTTATATTTTATTTCAGCTGTATTTCAATTAACGAAGATGTTTTAGTTAACGATAATAACCCTGGTTCAGCCACTCATCATTCTCTGCCAGACTCTATATTTCTAGCAACAGTTGTACTTGTGAAAGCGCCCTGATGTGAGTCCCCTGGTATGATTCTGCTTCCTTTCAATCTGTAGGACATTGAGAAGTGTCTACAGGCCTTGGATGAGCTCGGCTCGGTACAAGTGACCACTCACACCTTACAGAAGAACGCAGATGTTATTGCCACACTCAAAAAGGTACAAGAACTTACAGAAAACCTGAAAACGACACCCTGATATCTAAAAGTCGATGTGAATTTCCATTTGCAATCCGTTTTACTATTTAAAGGTGCAGTATGTAATATTGACAGCTAGCAGTTGACATGGGATAGCATTCCCATCATAAAACTTGCACACTTCTGACTGTCTTTTTGTCTTTTAGATTCGCCGGTACAAAGCAAGTAGTGCAGTGATGGAGAAGGCCACCGCAGTCTACAATAAACTAAAGCTCCAGTTTATTGGCAAGATTGAGACCGGTAAACCAAAGCCGGATGAAAAGAACCAAGAAAGCAATGAGCAAGACACACAAAACACAGGTAAACTGTGAATCTGGAACGTTTCCAAATCATTTCAAGCATTTAAACCACTTTTAAAATATGCTTTCTGCTTCCGCTTTGTTTCTTTCTCCCAGACGACTCTAAACCAGTGAACGGAGAATCAGAAAGCGAGATAAAAGATGTTTCTGATTCCGAAAGCAAGCCCAATCCCACAGACCATGAGAAACAGGATGAGAACAAATCCCCAAACGGCATCAGGTGAAGAGCGGCCATCTTTCGTCCTGTTTTAATAATTAGTTTACAAATTTTCCTAGTTTTTTACATTTTCAGTTTTCTTTAGTGTGTAATGTTGCTGTTGTTACAAAGCACAAAGTCGTTACAAAGCACAAAGTCACTCCAAAGGGAGTTATTCAGCGCAACTGTTTCTGAACTCCCTTAAGAGCCTCGATTGTAGCCTTGAGTTTTCTTCCTGGAACAAACATGCCACAATATTCCTCATTTTTAAAGGGGACCTATTATGCAAAATTCACTTTTATAAGGTGTTTGAACACAGATGTGTGTCCACAGTGTGTGTAAAAATCCACCCAATACTTTTATTATAATCCCCTTATATCATTATCAATCTCTCACAACAAGCTGTTTCAAATTTCCCCCTACTCCTAAGTAAGGCTGCGTCCCAATACCTCCCCTTACCCTAGATTTCTGCCCTAACCCTTGTTTTTGCGCGTTCTCGTGTAGGGGTAGGGTGTCCCAATACTCCAAAGAGCAAGGGGGAGTGCTATTCTCCCCTTAAAATCAACCCTCAAAACATAGTGCGGTCCGATGCAGGCTTAAAACGAAGTGGAAGATGAAATTACCCAGGATACCTTGCGAACTCAGCGAGCCGGTCAAATTTTTCAACTAAGATGGCGGACACCGCTGGAAAGGAACAATTTTATTTTAAGTATATTTTCGCAAATACGCATGTTAAAATGTCGAAATATGTTGGAATATGTTAGTTTGATGCCCATCCAATGGACTGTTGAGTTTTCAACACTAATGTTAGAAAATATTTCACGAAGCTATCTGACGATGTTCATATGATATCTGCCGAGTGCTTCAAAAGCAAATCAAATATACATCTGATCTGGGTAAGTTAGTTAATCTAATTTTATTTTCGATTTTGGCTTCCAAGGATTATAAAAAGAAGATATGTGAGGTAAAATTATTCAAAACTAGCCGCGTTCGTCTAGGTCTAGCGCATCATCTTCCCTTCACAGCGCGCTGTCATTTCTCTCTAAACCCAAACCTAACGTCAGAATCAGCACTGAGCACAATCGGTGATTGTTGTAAAGTGCAGTGTCTGCGGTTTCTAAATTGCGGGACGTTGGTGGTAAAAACAGCTACTAAAAGCACAATGATCCGCGCAGGAGACGTTGCCCCGGTTCCCATGGCGCGCGCGTTCGGAAACGGATTGCAACTAACGTTAGACAAGCAAACTTTGGGTTTTGTGTGCGCTTCTAAACGATCAGATACAAACAAATATATGGCAAAATTACCGGAAATGCGTCTTCTATATTCCACATGTCTTCTCTGTTGATTCATCAGATGTAGATAAACGAAAACAGCCCACACAACAGGCAACACAACAACTGGAACCGGCAATTTTATGAATGAAAATAGTAGTAGAAGTAGTAGACACTTTGACGCTGCGCGTGACGTATTGAGGATTGCCGCGCTAATTTGCATATAGTGGTGTCCCATTTCATAGGGAAAGATCTTCAACTCCACTTCCCTCGTTGAGGGGACTTTACTTTCGAGGGCACTCAAAACCAAGTGGAAGTTTTAAGGGGGGAGAAATGGGACAGGGCCTAAGAGTAGGGAAACCCCACCCACGACTGGTGACGATCTGCACTAGATCCCGCCCTGAGTGAGAAGCAGCAGTCCTACATTATAACCGTAAACTAAACCATACACTGCTCTATCTCCATGCAGCATATATTGTCTGGCTCTGTGGGCATCCTAATACAGTTCACAAACAAGCACCTACACAACAGTTTATAGATTAACATGAGGGTACAGGCTAGTCGATGAGATGAATAAACGTAACTCCACAACAACTAAGTTACATAAATGTATCCACTAACCATTCAGAAATGTCCATGTACAGTCTTCCAGTTGCAGCCTCTTCCTGAGTCTCTCCATTTGTGTCTGACTCCGGGTTTAAACATGTAAGGCTGCACTTCGCTACTGGATATTATTGACATTTTGCCTGAGAGAAATTCGGCTGTTGTTCCAGAATCTGAAGCTCGTGTAAAGGATCGGCCGTCTTCTGAACGGGGGTGGGAGCAGCAGCTCATTTGCATTTTAAGGGACACCAAAAAACGGCGCGTTTTGCCTCGCAACTTTTACAAGCTGGTATTTTGAGCTGAAACTTCAGAGACATTCTGAGGACATCAGAGGTTTATATTACATCATGTGAAAATGGGCATTATAGGTCACCTTTAAAGGGTTAGTTCACCCAAAAAATTACCCTTACTCACCCAACCTAGGTGTATATGACTTTCTTCTTTCAGCCAAACAGAGTTATATAAAATAAATTCCTTGCTCTTCCCAGCTTTATAATGGCCATGAATGGTACCTTGTTTTTTGAAGCCCAAAAAAGGGCATCCATCCATCATAAAAGTGATCCATACGACTCCAGGGGATTAATAAAGGCCTTCTGAAGCGAACTTTCTAACTTTCTAAACTCTAATCACTGGCTTCTGGTAACGGCCGTACGCAAGTCGAGTTCTGGCGAAAAAGTGACCTCTGCTTTCAACCTCTTGACAAACTAAAAGACGTAAATGACATTTGTATGTATTCTAAATAAAAGATATAGATTGTACTGAATTTCAGCTTGCTTTCTTGGCTCAAGATAAGGATTTATTGAGTCCATGTCATGCGAAGAAGCAACTCTTCTAACCACAGCTCGAGAGCTGTCGTTCCAACCACACAACTTTGCGATGCTGTTTGCGAATGTTCGTTTAGAACTATTCTTTCGGGAAACAGACTCGTTGAACTGTGCTGATAATGACGGAACGTGCGAACATAGTTGGCTAACGATGCTTTCGGGAAACGCACCCCAGAGCGTTACTGACCGACTGAGAGGAAAGGTGCTGCAACAATGTCAAATGTATGTTTTTTTGAGCATTCAAGCATGTAGGCCTGTTCTTGTTGAGACACAATCAAGACTTTGTAAAAGGAAAGATATGGCCTATTCAATCTAAATACATCCAGACTAATGTTTTATTTGTCTTTCAGGCCTAATCCAGATGACCCTATAGAGCAGCAAAAACTCACAACTGACTCTCCAGAGCCCAATCCGACAGCAGACACAGACGTAAAAGAGGACAGCCGAGCACAGGACGAGCAGATGTCTTCTGAGAGCTGAACTGCGTTTGTCTCTTTTATGCTCACAAACACACTTTGGCTTCCTTCATTCATTTGTGTTATTTTTTGTCTGCCCACCTTTGTGACCTACATGAGTTTTTCGTGTTGTACATAAAACGTGATATGAACATTTATTAGCACTTTTGAATCGAGACGTCACGAGGCAAACAAGCGCCTTAATCTAAATGTTGGATGTGTATGATTCTGCACTAACCTCATTTGGATAGCCGAAGGGGAACGTTTCATTTCAGAACCACACTGACGTCTAGGGGGGGGGAAACACCGAAGCCCAAATGTATTTGATGACTGTGCTTGTACTATGTAGCTGCTTTTTATGAGTAACTTTTTTCCTTTTGTTTTTTTTATGAAAAAGGAAAATGTTTAAAAAAAAAAAAAGAAAGAAAAGTAAAGCAGGCTGGTTTTGTTGATTGACACCCACTACAAGAGATCATGAAGTTTCATAATTTTTAGTGCACAAATCTACATCTGATTCTACATCTGTCTGGTATGGATTTCAATAACTCTGTCTATGGACTTTTACTAAATTCTGTAGACATACCTTTTGTTGTCTGTTGTTTGGTCCTCTAATATTCACAACTTACATCTGCATAGGTTGACCTCAATTATGCTATTCTTTTTTTGGATGTCATAAAACATGCTTATCATGCTTATTATAAACATGTTTCTAGTGCTATGTAACTTGGTCCAAGCTTTTTTTAGTATCCGTGAAGGATTAAATAAAAAATTCCGCATGATGGCCGACAATGTTGTTATAAGGATATTCACTGGACATGTTTGGAATAGAATGCTAACACACTGTCTAGTGCATACTACACAGTATAGACTGTATGTTTCAGTCTTAGTAGGAGTAGTATGGAGCAATCCGGTTACAAACATACACATTATTTATGACATTGACTGGTATTACTTTAGAAAATGTGTAAAATAATATTTATTGTAAGTTAAATAGCGTGTTATGTAAATCACCAGCTCAGTAACATTTTAATTATTCTGTACGAAGTTTTTAATATTCTTATTATGAAACGCGTTCAGTCGCTTGTATAAACAAAGGCTTTGATTGGTCTACTGAGCGCTGACGTCATTCGAACGCAAACCCCTAATGACGCGCTAGCTTGCTGTCTAGACGGTTTTATTTGTAATAAATTCATTTATTTAATTCAAAGTGTAACTTGATATTATAAAATAACGACAAGAGGCAATAGGAGAATACAAATGATCCCAAATGAAGAATACAGAGTTATTTGGTGATTAATCATTCAGTTTTTTTGTTTTGTTTGTTTAAACCATAGGTTTAAAGTTTAAACACTGCTTGATTCACAGTCTAGAAAGTAAGGTTTTCTATTAACGTTAGCTGATTAGAATTATTTATGCAATATGAAACTTGGATAAGATTATTATAAAAGTAATTAAAAGGAATCCGTGACTGCAAAAACATTCTTCACAACATCAAGAAGGAAATGTGAAAATCCCAATAAACGACACGCAGGGAAGCGTCTACTAGTGCGTCGCGTCGCGCGCTAGCAGTGTGGATGGGTTTGTCAGTCAGGTGATCTGTCCGCCATTTTGTCAGCCATTTCCTAGACGGGTCCGCTGCAGATCAGCACTTACTGAAAGAGCAAAACCCCTCCTGCACAGGCCGCTGTTCGGGACTGAATGAGAGACTAGCGCTCCTGCGGGCCGGTCAGTACTCAGATAAAGCCCGTGTTTGCGTTTCGGTCTGGTCGGACAGGAGGGAAATCATCATGGCTCTGAAGATCGTAAAGGGGAGCATCGATCGGATGTTCGATAAAAACCTGCAGGATTTAGTACGTGGCATTAGGAACCATAAGGAAGATGAGGTGAGGAGACACTTCTATCAGTTCATTTCGTTTTATATTAAAATCAGAATTGGATGTTTTTGTAAATATGCTTTAAACGCTGCTGGTATAAATGAATCAAGTTGATCTCGTGTCAGTGATCTCAAATCACCTGATTTCAGGTGAGCTAACCGGCTATAACCTGTCAAATGTGCTTAGATAATGAACTATATTTATATATTAAACTTGAAATATTATTATTTCAGTGATTTAATCATCTTGTTATGTTAGGTGACAGCTGTTAATGTTGTTAGAACAGTCTGTCATCGTTTTGTTTATCATGGATGAGGCCAGTTAGCATTGCTAACGGTTGTGACACCTAACATAAATATATTCTGCAAAATAAATACAAATTTGATTCCATCTTGTTCTTTGTGTAATTATGCATGTGATGAACCGATTCGGTACGCTAAAAGAAAGATGTTAATTCAATAGGCTATAGCTTGCCTCACTTATGTGTGTCATGAGATTGGCCGTGTCACAAAACCTATCTAGAAGCCTATCTAGGAGACAGCTTTTCGGGGGGCATCAAAGATTCGAACGCGCATGATGCCTGTGATGTTCGAACCCGCTTACGATGTGTTCGATTTTAACGTTCTGATGTGCTTATGAATGATGCCCACTAATGTTCAATTCGAGTGTTCGAACACCATTTAATGGAAATGTTCAGATTCTTCTATGATTCCTAAAAGTTTCAAACCCGTATATAATTCCCAAAACATTTAATCAAAATATTTGAACAACATCCATGTGATTCATTTTGAATGTTCAAATGCACATAGATGGCGACTGATGTTTGAATGCTCAATTTAAATGTTCAAATGCACCTACATCATGCAAAATGTTCAGGTCAAAATGTTTTATATGTGGTCGATTTGAATGCTCTGATGTGCTTATGATGCCCACACATGTCAAATTTGAGAGTTCACACACATTTGAATGGAAATGTTCAGTTGAGTGTTTCACGATATACTGGCACTAGAAAGGTATTGCGATAGCCTGCTATCAAAAACTGCATGGTTCTACATTTTATTAGTTCCAGAACTTTAAGAATGACAGCATTCTAATAAGAGCAGTATTTCATAATTTGAGTTGATGTGTGACAGCGGCACATGTGTGTGCAAAGCCTCGAAAAAGGACTCAAAGCTGGCCTTGAGATAGAATGCGATCTTGAATTCTATTCTCTTTCACTGATAATTGCGCTTGAATGGTCAAAAATATGATAAAATGCCTTGCAAGTATCCTTGCAAACACAGTCGGTGTGTCCAAGTGAAACCTGCTGCTGTCTGTGTGATTAATGTTAATCAAGCAATAAAAGAAAAGAGAAAATCACCCACTGCTTGGCTGAATAAATTTAATATGTTTATTAGGTGTATAGTTAATTTATAGATTAAAGACTATTCAGCGTTTTTTTTTTTTTTTTACATTTGATTATAATTTCTTTCTTGAATGCTACTGGTGTTAAATGACCTACTGTAGCCTATACCGGAAAATATTAAAGCACTGTTTATTTCATTTGTATCTTATATTGTATTTGTCATATTGATTGTAATTAGCATCTTTGCTTATTTTGAAGATAAAATAATCTCAAATATATTTTAAGATGACTGTATTGTGATATAAAATGACATAAATAAAATATTAAATTATTCATATTGTGAAATAAGATTATGATCCCGTCACCCATGCCTATCCCAAACTGTTCAGAATTAAAAGGTTTGCGAATGTGATTTATAATGTGTTTTTTTATTTTAATATAACAATGATTTTTAAGGTCTGTTTTATTATTCAATTACTTTTTTACTGTTGTTGTTTTGTTTTGTTTTTTTGCAATGGTATCGATTGGTATTTTAGTCAGGTATCGTGTTTTGGTATCGTGACAACACTAGTTCAGATGAGGAACTAGTTCAACATGCATATGATGCCCAAAAAACGTTTGATTTTAAATGTTCGAACGGGCTTATAAGCTAATCCCCTAATATGTTTTATTATAAATTTGTCTGAGATGCCCAAAAATGTTGTCTAGGTAGGCAGCTGACTAGGTATTGAGACGCAGCCGTCGTCTTGGATATGAAATCACATCTGTCAGTTTGACCACAGCGTCAGGGATGAAAATAGCTGGTTTCTTGTCGTTCATTTTGTGATCTGTGGTTGAAATAGCCTAAAGATGAAATGATGAAGTAGGCCTCATGCTTCCTGGTCCCCTATAATGACAAAGCTGAATTCTCTTTTGCAATATGCTCCATCCTCGCCCCTCCCTTTGGGGAAAAAAGAGAACAAGATGCTGTAAAACTGAGCATTTATAATCAAATAGGGCTTTCCCTCTTTAACTTCAGTATTCCGTTCCCTTTTTTGGAGATTCACATTGATTTTAGTCACCGGTTTGCCCTTCCAGCACACATCAGATCAGTGAGTTATGTGTTATGAAATGTAATAAACCAAGTAAACACTGGACACTGATGTCATGTGTTTCTGATGTGCTGTAGACGGTGTGAACCTTCTTGAACAACCAGCATTGTCCGATGTGGCCTTGAGTCTGTGGCAAAAAATGTTGCATCATGATCATCTATAAAGATGGCAAGCTGTCCGAGTTATCGCTCTTTAAAACTTTTATATTGGATATTTAATTATTCTTGTTCAAGTAGTTAGTTGGCACCTAATTACATTGACTTCATACTACAATCTTGATTCTGGTCTGACTGGTTTTGGTCCCCTACTTTCATTTCAATTGAATATCGAACCATGTTTTATCACACTTTACGTGCCATGCATTCAAATACAAACATCCTTAAAACTTGCTTTAACATTCCAGTTCTAGTGTCCCGGCCCTGTTTAATCTGCAAACATCTGGAGTCGGGTATCAGCAAGGCTTCGTCAGTGTAACCTGTACCTAGATGCCGTGTCTGTTACCTGGCCAACAGCGGACAGTCCTGTGAAATATTCATAGCCTCCTGAATGAACTGTCAGACTGTATGTGTGTTCTGGTCTGTTTGCTCTCTGCCTGTGGTTTCATACGAGACCTCTATATTTGTTTTCCACAAGAGGTGGGTGTACTTAGCCAAAGCACTCGCTGGGTCTCAGAACTAGTGAGCTGCCCTCCTAAATGCTTTCTTGGACACCATAGCTGCGCTTGAGCCAAATAATTTTGATATAGGTGTGTTTGAATATTCATTTTGGGGCATCGTAGGTATATTTGAACATTCTGGTAGTAGTGCTTGAAAAGATGGAAGGACTTAAGGTTTTCCTCAGACTGTGCTCTCTTGTTTGCCTGAGAAGGACATCGAGTTTGTCTTCATACTTGACTGATGGTTTGCTGAGCTGGTCAAATCCAAGTCTTGGCTAACTCACAAATATTTCAGTCATGGCAATGGGCTGAAATTACCCATAATGCATGATTCATTAGAACTGAATGAGGATGGGACAAGGAACATCTTCTGGAGAACATTCTATTCCCTTATGGTTTTGTTCTTACAGGGATGAAGTTACCCATAATGCATCATTCATGATGATTTGATAACTTACCTCGAGTTTCACGAAGTTACCCTTAACTCTTTCCCCACGAGTGTTTGTTTTTTATGTTGCAAGTTTTTTTTGATAATTTTCACACAAAATTGTATTGGCCCCAGAATATTTTGTTTGTATTTTATTCTAGTTTCATGCATTCTTTTTTTATCAACACTTGAATGTTGGGCAAGTTTCATAAAAAAAATCAACATTTTGAACAAAAAGCTGTCAAAGGCTACAACATAACATAACATACTACATGCATAATCAATGGTTTTATCATCCGTTTCTGCTCCTTTTTTGCCTGTTTTGATCCGGAGATTCTCTACTCTTTGAGAAGATGCGTAATGACGCTCCCTACCGTAAAACACTTAAACACTGAAA